AATATTATCACAATAAATCTCGACCAAATTATAGATTAAATTATAAATTTTTTATTAATTAAATTATATATTTTAAAATATTATCACAATATCTCCAAAATTATAGATAAAAATATTTGCTGTGCATAACACATAGATATTGATACTGAAATATACAGAAAGAGATTGTGGGAGAGGGAAGATTAAAGAGAGCAGGCCTCCTAAACTTTAGAAATTCTAAAAATTTACTTTGCAAAAATAGTGTGAAATTTTTTTTATTGGTTTAATTTCTTTAAATTTTTAAAAATTTTATTTGGGCCTTCAAAATTTTAAGTTTGGCTCCACTAATATAGTGATTATTAGTAGGCTTTGTATATTAGAGTAAGAAATCCATTTGCACTTTACATAAAAGTATGGGCAAGGCACGTCAAGTCATAATCTAATGATAAATACATTCACGTCGTAGCTATAGATTCAGGTTCAAATTTTCCATTTTCAATACTAAAAAAAAAAAAAGTATGGGCAAGAAAATGACAAAATTATTATTTGGTAGCTCTTCAACTTGAATTAAACAAATATTCACCAATAGTATTTATTAACTACTACTTATTTTCCTGTCCAAAATATGTTTTTATTCACAAGCTATAACAATGGACAATACATGCTTGAAAATAAGCAGCATAAGAAGAATTAATAAACAAACTCTATTAATGGATTATTGTAATATTAGTCGATAAACAAACTCTAGCTAGACAGACTATAATGAAAGAAAGTGAGATGATATTAGTAAATAACATCCTAAAAACTGTATTTTCAAAAGAAAATTTTCTGATCAAATTGTCAATGTTGCTGTGAGAAAACAGAGAGAGAGAGAGAGGTCAGGAAAGTGACCTCCTTTTTTTAATAACAATGACTAGATTAGGAAACTTAAATAACAAAATAATTAATGAAAATGGTAAGATGTAATTTGTAGGTCCTATGTCTATAATAACATAATCCTAAAAGATGGGTTAGTTTTAACAAATCAACAACCGCCCCCATTTAATAGCATCAAATATGTCAAAAAAAGAGAAAAAAAATTTAAAAAGTTTTTCAAGTGATAAGACACGTTCATATTTAATCGGTGAGCTTAAAAATTCAATTTATAAAAAATTTTTATAAAAAAAAGACAGCTATAAAACATAAAACAGGATTAGTCAAGTAAAAAAAAAAAAAATGTGTGGGGATATAGAGAGAGAATGTTTATTGCTTTGTTGTTGCTTTTGCTTCTCTTTTTTCACTCATTTGCTAAAGTGACTCATTTCCTTTCATTTTGTATACATATTATATATTTTCTTGAAAGAGTAGAAGCAAAGAATAGATTTAGGAAGTTCTATCATTGACTATTCCAATCCTTAAAAGGTTTGATTGGCACATGCAATCCTTTTTTTTTTTTTTTTTCCTTTTTTTTTTTTTTTTTGTGTGTGTGTGTGTGGTTTTGTGGTCCTTTTACATATTGCAAGAAGGGATGATTGGGTTGGGACAATTTGGGTTCTTTCTTTGCTTTTATTTTGTATGTGTGTTTGTAAGTTGTGAGCTGTGACTGTGAGTAAAAGTTTACTAGCTGTCCTGTCACCTCTACTTTGTGCTAGACAAGTGGCTCACGTGCAACAAAGGCACGTGTCCTTTAGCATATTGGGTTCCACCAATTAGATTTTCTTTTTCTAAAATATAAAGTGGTAAATGAGAAAAAATACCTTACCATAATCAAAACCAATGTAAAATTGTCAAAATAATCATTGACTAAGGGTCCATGGACATTAGTTGTTAGCTATTGGAGTAATTATTAGCTGTTAGCTTTAAATTGATAGTTATTTATATAATTATTTAAATTAAAAATATTTGATAAAAATAGGTATTTAATTAGTTATTTGATTTAAAATGACAAAAAATGATATTAGTTGTTTAATTAATTAAAATTTGAAGAAAAAAAATAATAGATATGACTTTCAAAAAAATTTTAACTAAAAACTAAATATTAAACGCTAAAGCTAAACGTGAGAGTATTTAATATTTCATAAAAAAACTCATTCAACCTCTAAAGTTATTATATACGTTATATCACACTACAATTAATAAAAATATAGTTTTGACTTTATTAAAACACTAAAAATTGTCTCAAAAGTTTTTACCGAATAAGGCCTAAGAAAACAAGAAAAAAAATCAACCAAGCAACCAATTTTTGGTGATGTGGTCTTTAATTAACTATATATGGTAAATAATCTCATCTCATATCTAGCAATTCTTGTCATAAAAAAAAAAATACCAAATCCTCTGAAGCTCAAATAAGAAAAGGGTAGAACTAGAAACCTTCAAAGAAACAAAAGATGAGGAGAGGAAGGAGTTGGGACACTAATTTTATTTCATATTTCTTTTTCATATTCATAAATTTTGTCCATTGAAAAGACAAATTTGGGGTAGGGGACAGCAAAAGGCAATTATACTTGCCAATAGCCATGCCCATTTGCTAAAAGGAAAGTGTTAGTTTTAACAATATAAGCACAGATTATTATTATGTTGGCCAACTAGTACAACTTTTCTAGCAGATAAATAACAGCTCCATCAATGGGTCCAAATTCAAGATTTTGTGTGATGGTAAAGATCATAAATCATAAAGAGGTATTAACTCTAGATGATATATAGGTTAAACTATCACTTTGACATTAATTGCTTTGATTCACACTTGCTTATTTTTCCAAAATTTTAATAAATAGTCATTAAATTTTGAAAAAAAAAAAGAACTAGAATGATAATTTTCTTTCGAATGGTAATTGCCTATTGTTTTGACTTTAGGGGTCAAAATTTTATTTTGTACGAAAAATCAAGGACTAGAATGATATTTTAGTATGTAGACTAAAATGTAGGGAAAATTTTGAGAACCATTGTATTAATTTTTTATAAAGCAAGGAATTAAGCATAAAAGTACAATTTCCAAGAGTTTTAGTAATTTACCCTCGTTTAAAATAATTTCAAATTAGTACACTATTTTTATTATCGTCTCAAATTAAATTATTTTAAAGTATTTATTAATAAAACACTTAAACTATTCAAAAGTAATTTCATCAAAGACTTTACTACTTATTTTTAGATTGATGTAGGAGTTTAAAAATGCATTTTAAATTAAAGTAAGTTATCAAGCTAAACTCCCTTTAAATTTGTGAATATTTCCTCTCTATATTCTTTCTTCTTGAATAAGTGGGCTTGGGATTTTTTAGCATTTTGGGCTAGGTTGAGGCCGAATTGAGTACAGGGCGACTCGGTTTATGTGTGGTTTTTGAATATAATATGTTAGGATTTCATTAAAAAACTTTAAATCAATACAAATAATATAAGAGGATATGATCGCTCCCCTAAAAATTAGACATAGAATAAAAATTATTATAACTAAAATAATTATTATTCACTGATCTAATAAAAAATCCTAATGAAAATTGAAAGGTGAACTTGAAAAAAATTGATAGATCTTCAAGAGTGGCTGATTAGATTAACCCCCCGAATTTTCTATATATGACCTAATTATCCATGAACTACTTGCTTATAACGAACATAAATGATTTAAACCACTAAATCTAATGGAAGAACATATCGTACTACCGGGCTCCAAAAGATAAAGATCATTGTGTAGTTAGAAAAATTTTCCACAAATTGTGTATATGTATCCAAATAAAACCAAACAAATGCCAAAAAAAAAAAAAACACAATAAATACTCTACAAAATGGAGAGATCGTAAACTCCACACACGATAGAGATAAAACACAAATAATAGCAAAAACATAAATAACATAAATCTATCCCATAATAGACATAGATCTATAATTTATTTAACAAAAAAAAATATAAAAATTGGCAATAAAATTAAAAATATGAGGAGGGGTTACAAGAGATAGGAATTAGCCCCTGCTTATATCTACATGCTTGATTTTTGTGTGTCAATATAGAAAAAAGAAAGAAAAAAAATTAATTGAGAAAGGAGGAGAGAGAGAGTTTATGTGTTGTTTGAGCTTTGAACCACACATAAAGCTCATAATTGGAATCCTGATCAATAATTCTATATTTTCCCTGAATTATGCATTTTTATAAATTACTCGTTTAATATGTCTTGTTCATAACTAATTTTTTTTTCTTAACCCTATGTTTTTTTTTTTTTTAAATTTAATAGAAATCCGACTTACATGTTAAAGTGATAATTTTAGATTAAAAGTTGAGGTTTACAATAGAAAATTTCAATATTTAATAATCTCTTATAAGGCCATGCATTTTTTTTTTTTTCAATTATACACTTTTTGACTTTTAATATGAATTCAGAAAATGATTAAATCACTTTTAGAAATAAAATAATTGATTAAATTACTTTTTAATTAATTTTTTAATTAAGAGAAATGTTTGATAGATATATTTAGACAATGAAAAAATTAAAATTTGAAATAAAATAATCAACACTACTTTGATTTTTGAAAAGTATCGTCTAAATGAAAAAAAATAAAATGTGTTAAAATTAATAGTGTATTTGGACTCAAATCATGTGCAATATGGCTCAAAATTTGAAATTGTCATCTTATAAAATTTTAACTAAACATTGATGCTAATACGAAGAAAGCGTCTCAGGCATGTGAAGAATATTAAATTTCAAATTTAAATACTCTCTACCATATTGTTATTATTTCGTTAGTTTTGTTATTTTTTGTATTCGATCTTCAATGAATTAAAAAAAAAAAAATTTTCCAAAATTCTGGGTAAAATTGAAATTTCAAATTTTTTATTTTCTCAAATTCTTTTCTTAGAATATATTTTTTTCAAAAGAATTTGAACTTTTTTTTTGAAAATAAAAGAATTTGAACTTACATGTATATTTTGTATTCGAGTGCATAAAGGAAAAAGCTCCTTATCCGTGTAAAGAACAAGCGCAGAATGGCTGCCTCAGTCTACCATTCCACTTTCTTCTTCCCCTTTCTCTGCCCATTCTCTGCAAAACTCAGTACTTCCTTTTCTCTGTCTCTCTTTGCTAATTTGAAATTACGTTACATAAATAGTTTTTCCTTTCACGAACTGTCATGAACCTGAATTAATTATGCACTGCCATCAAACTCCATTGATATTTGATGCCATTGTTTCAAATTCCAGGGCATTATCGTTCAAAAACGGAGCTATACAACACCACAAGCAACGAAGTAAGAACACAAGCACCAATGACTTTTGCAAGCAAAAAAGATACTGAAGAAGCAGGAAAGCGGCTTTATCTAGGAATGGATTTTGGGACCTCTGGCGCTAGATATGCTCTTATTGACAAGCAAGGAGCAATTTATTCTCAAGGAAAGAAGGAGTACCCTCTTTATACGGTAAGACTTTTATTTTTGAAGTTCTTATTTGTTGGAGAATTAGGTCTCAATTCACTGAAATTTCATGCAGTTTAATTGATTGCTTTTAAGTTGTCATTATGAGAATTATTTAGAACTGAAAGAGTTGAAATTGCTAAGAATTGGATTTGTATCTTTTGTGAATCATTTTGGATTTTTGTAACTTGAGTTGAAGTTTAATACCTCATGTCCTTATCATACGGAGAAAATTTCCTTTCATAGAAAGATCAGGTTTTTAGAATTTTGGCAGATTAAATTGATTAATTGCTAGGGATTGTCTTGTGGAAACTATGTGATCAGTCAAAACCTTGGCAAGAATGATTTTCCTTCATTTTCAAACTGAAGCTTCTTAATCAATTCTGTGTCTGTGCAGATGTTACCCAGTATCTTCCAGGATATACAACACAATGTGAATATTTGGAAAACAAAATGAAAATTTTAATCTCCATAATGTAATTCCAGCAAAATTTGGTTACTTGGCCAAATAGTTGAGAATCTTGTTTCTTTTGTCTAGAAAGAGTGAAGAACCAATGGATTGGGTGCGGTCTTGGAAAACAACACTCTTCTCACTGCTTGAAGATGTTCCCAGTCATCTCCGACCACTTATTGCTTCTATTTCTATTGATGGTACTTCTGCAACTACTATGATTGTAGACAGGTAAATGTTGCAGATTTATTATTATTATTTGTATATACTTGATTACAGTTTATTTTCCTGTCCAAGTAAAGGCTACATTTGAGTTAGGCATATTAATTTTTTAGTACAGCAATACAGGAGATCCATTATGCAGACCGTACCTTTACAATGAGAGTTGTGTCGATGCATTGCCAGTTGTAAAATCTATTGCTCCTGCAAACCATACAGTTTGCACTGGATCATCTACCCTATGCAAGCTTGTCTCTTGGTGGAACATTGAGGATTCAAATAAAAATTCAGCACTATTGTTGCACCAGGCCGATTGGCTTTTGTGGCTTCTTCATGGTAAACTTGGAGTGTCTGATTATAATAATGCTCTGAAGGTATTAGTCACTAACTTTTTTCAATTGGGATTTGCTTTTTAATGCTTTTATTGTACATTAATCATCCGTGATGGAAAATTCAGATATTGTTTGTTGCAGGTTGGCTATGATCCCGAACTGGATTCTTATCCACCATGGTTGCTTGCTCAACCATATTCACAGCTTTTACCTACAGTTACAGCTCCAGGAACTTCAATTGGTTGTCTAAAAGAGGATATTAGATCCCAATTTGGTATGTTTCTTTTTGTTAAATAGGTATGTAATATTTTTTTTTTCTTCTCTTGCTCTTTACATTAGTCGGAGACAATGGACAATTTAGTCTTTTTGTTTATATTTTACCGAAGGGAATGAAAAATTGGGTGAAAAATTGAGTTCAAGAGTTTATTAAATTACTATCCATTTGGTTCAGTTATTGATTGGCTTCAAGTGCCAATGATAAAAATGACTTTTCTTCATCTTGTTTCTGTCTAACAAAAATTGAGCAAACATGTTTTACTACATTTTTAAACTGCAGACTTCCTTGTTTGTTAATACTACTAGTGCCCATATAATATATTTTGATACTCCTAGTGCCAATATAAACTTCATGAGAGATGATAGCTTCCATTGCCTTTAATCAAAGTTTGGATTGACAAATCATTGGAGAATGCCATTTCAAGGCTCACAAAAGGATATCAATTATGTATTTCAGGGACAAGTTAACACTGACCATAGGACATCTGAGTTTGCTATAAATGCTACTCATGCTATTGCGTCAAATTTGCCAGTATGAAGTTATAATGTCTTTTATCTTCGTGCCTCTTCCCTCCATAAACAATGAGTTTTTGTAAAATTTTCTGCAAAATTTTCCTATTTGCTGTTACTGGACCTTAAAACTGCTTCTAAACTGGATTCTTAAGCTGCAACATATCAGATTGTATATTTTGGCAGTAGGTGTTGTGATTTGATGTATTATATAATTATCCTTGCAGGATTTCCAGAAGATTGTGTTGTATGCACAGGAACAACTGACAGTATAGCTGCTTTTCTCGCCGCACGCGCAACGCAACCTGGGAAAGCTGTAAGAAAATTATTTTTGCTCTTATTTTTATATTCATGAGAACTAGTAAACATGGCTGTTTGAATTGCTATATATATATTGGACTGGTTTTGGTGCTTTCCATGTAGGCATACATGATAAATTATTTTTCATACACGTAGAAGAATAACATGAAAGTTCTCCAGAGAACTACTTTAAATGAAGATTATCCGATTCACATTTTACTTGCATTTTCTGCATATCTCATTTAGATCATATCTTGCCACAATTATTGCATTATGGATTGCCTATTTATTTATTTATTTATTACAACTATTGTATGATTCAGATGTAGCAGCTGCCCTGCTTCTGCAATTTCTCATCTTACCACAATTATTTAGTCCAGTAAATTACAGAGCTGTTTCATATATATATATATATATATATATATATTACAGAGTATAATGGTAACAATATCTAATTCCAGGTTACCTCATTGGGTTCTACACTTGCTATTAAGCTACTGAGCACTAGCAGGATTGAAGATGCACGATTTGGGGTTTATAGCCATCGCCTTGATGATAAGTGGCTCGTTGGAGGTGCTTCAAATACTGGTGGAGCTGTTCTCAGACAACTTTTCACTGATGAGCAATTGGATAAATTGAGTGAACAGATTAACCCCATGGAAGCTTCTCCTTTAGACTACTATCCTCTGAAAGCAGCTGGTGAGAGATTTCCGGTGGCAGATCCAAATCTGGCTCCCAGGTATATAACCTTTTATCTTTTTTTTTTTTTGGGTAATTTTTGTTAGAGTCAAGAGAGCGATATCATAAATGTTTTTTGGGTAGCTATTGGAACTTCTGCATATTTGCAAATATCTTACTGATGTGCTTATAAAGGTAATAATAAGAAATAATCGTACAAAAAATCCTAAATTTTTCGCGCTTTGCAATTTTACCTTTAAGTTTTAATCGATCAATCTTACCTTAGATCAAAATTAAAAGAAAAATTATATCATTTTATTACCGAACGATTGTCCCTTGAATATATACCAGATTGTCAATTTTGTCTTTATTTTAGATTTGGTTAATGAGTCATGAGTTTGATATGTACCCACAATTTTTTTTCTAAAAAAAAAAAAAAAAAAAAAAAAAATTTTGTCTTATTTTAGAGTTTGGTTAATGAAGTCGATGAGTTTTGATAATGGTTACCCACAAGTTTTGTTTCTTAAAAAAAAAAAAAAAAAAAAAATAAAAAAATTTCTGCAGTTTATTTGATATTTGCACTTCTTCATGCAGGATTACATCTACGGAACCGGAAAGTGATGTTGAATACTTGCCATGCATTTTAGAAAAAAAAAAAAAAAAAAAAAAAAAAATTCTGCAGTTTATTTGATATTTGCATTCTCATGCAGATTACATCCACGACCGGAAAGTGATGTTGAATACTTGCATGGCATTTTAGAATCCATTGCACGTATAGAGGTACTAATATTGTATCTCCACTGTTCCTACCATTATTGCGCCATTAGTGACAATTGACAATGACACCTCATGTAATTTCAGGCAAAGGCCTATAGCTTATTGAAAGATATGGGAGCAACACAGGTTGAAGAAGTTTTTACAGCAGGAGGCGGTGCAAAAAATGAGAAATGGACAAAGATACGAGAGAGAGTGCTCGGCTTGCCCGTGAGCCGAGCATTGCAAACAGAGGCTGCCTATGGAGCTGCATTACTGGCATTGAAGGGTGCCCAACAGATTGTGAATTGATTGCATAATGAAAATAGGTGAGGAAAATGTCCTGAGAAATTATCAAGTACAACCAGTATTAGTTATTTGCATGTAGATTGATGGCAAAGAGAAGAAAGCCAACTTTCGTTAGAAAAATTTAGTCATATAAATCATATTCATGTTCTAAGTATAAAGTTCCATCTTGGTTTCATTTTTTTTAGCTGCAAAATGATTATAGAATAGCTTATACTTAATGAGGTACTGTCTGAAATTTGTTTATAATTCAAAGGTGGATTTATTAAATTAACAACTAAATTTTAGTCCGAAACTAGTTGAGATTTGCTATATGAATCATTTGTTCTAACATCTGCTATATTCAAAATAATAGTAACACGTGGATTTATTAAATTACTTATAAAAAAATTAAATAAATTTTTATTAAACAAGAAAATAATTGTACACATTTGTTGAGAGAAATGAACTTGATGAAAGAGTGTTTATGTAAATTATTCTCAATCACATTACAAGCTTTAGATGGTTGTCTACTTATACAAGTAAACTAAAAAATAAAAAATAAAAATAGTAGAAAGGCTAGAATGTCAAATATTGCATATTGTACAAGACAGAACTTGATAGTTGTACAATATTTGACATTCTAACATTATTGGGACAAATATGAAATTTTGTACAAGACTTTCTTTTGAGAAGAATATTGTACAAGACTTGATAGTTGCACAATTTGATAGTTTTACAATATTTGAAATTCTAACAACATTAAACTACTTCAGATCTTTATTTTTTTCTCAAATATATTAACAAAACGCATAGCAAATACAAGGTTGTGTAAAAAGAATAATTTCATCCGACAAAATATATTTTTGTTTGGACTCTCTATGCATGGCCATGTAGCATTTAAGTTGGACGTGGTCGGAGTGTACTGGAGTTTTAGATACTGGTGATTATAGAAAAAAAAAAAAAAATAGCGGTAAATTTTGACCATTTTTATAATTGGTTAATTTTATTCCATTCCATAAATTCAAATTTCTGTTGTCTCGTCCCAAAAAATAACTCATTAACCCATCTTATTGTATCTTAATCTCTCCGAACCATCAGATACCATCCATCTAAACAACAAAAAAAGTAAGGATCCAATCTAGGATCATAATATTAAATGATAAAATCTGAAATAGAAATGTCAAAAAACAAATAATTGAAAAAAAAAAAAAAAGATGGAGACTCTCTCCATTTTGATAGATTAACATAAGGTGGTAAAATTTTGCTAGCGTTTAACTGTTACTTTTTCATGAAAAGTTAATCTTAAATGAGTTAAATTTTTATAAAATACTATTTATACACATTTAAAAATTAATTTAAATATTATATTATCGAGCACTATAAAAAATAATGCTTAGTTAATTCAAATATTATGTTAAAATATTAGGTTAAAAAACACCCTTAAAAATCGGGATTTAGCGTTTTAATTAATAAAAAAGTTAAAAGCCCCAAACATAGCAAAGAACAGTCCTTCCTAACCAATTCGCTAACCCAAAAGCCTTTGGCAATCTTTAAAACGTGACCGTATTCTGCCATGTAAGAACTGTTAGATTAGAGGTAACATTTATTTTTCAGTTTGACAAATTGTTGGCTAATCTATTTTTAGTTTAGCACTTAGAGGAATAATCAGACGATATGCTTATACAGAATTTGGATAGTCATAACCAGTGTTTATAGCTTAGCAGCAACCGTTGGATTAGATTAAATAAATAAAATTCCCAGTTTGCGGTGGGGAATGGGTGGTTGTGGGGTCCAGCGAAGCCCTGCAAGGAGACATTTCTGTAAGGAAACAGAACATTCGGCGTCAGAGACAGACACAGATTCATAAATGAGTAAGTGAAGAAAATAGAGAAACAAATCTATGCATTAAATGAGAAGCAATCATGGGAGATTTTCTCTTTGACACTCACCCAACTCTCCACCGCCAATTCGTCAATTCCTATTTCCCTAGTTACTTGCTAGCCATTTTCCTTTATTCTTCAAAACCCAAACCCAAAGTTTAAAATACTCTGTAATTGTTCAATATTTACATAATTGGGTTCCAAACCCAAATAACCCTCCTCGTAAGAAATGTCTTCTTCTCCTTTTATTCTCTGGACTATTGGCCTGGGCTTGCATAATTGGGCCTTGTGAATTGGACCGGCTTCATCACTTCCCTCACCATACTTAAGCCGTAATTTCCTTTCAATCAATTAATGACTCCGATGAATACAAGACAAAAAAAAATTATGCCAAATTTTCAATTATATATATATATATATATAAAGAAAAAAACTGTCTAGACCGGCCCATAGCCGAGACCAAATTATTAAAATTAAAAATTTTTTAAAAAATATTTTAAAATTAGCCAAATTTTTCCAATTATATATAGTATATATATAATAAAGAAAAAAAAACTGTCTAGACCGCCCATAGCCAGACACAAATTATTTAAAAGTTAAAAATTTTTTTAAAAAAATATATTTGATTTTTTTCCTTTTTGAATATATTAAATAGAAATACACTTATTTCAATAAAAATTTTTTAATTAATTTTTTATTGATAAGGCATATAAGTGAATTTAATAAATATTCTTTTTTAAAAAAAATATGTTTAATTAATTGAAATATAGAATGTAAAGTGAAATTATGGATTCGATGGAAGGTAAGTTTTTCTTTCCATATATATACTATATAGATATATATATTAATAGTATATATAAAACCACCCACTGTCCTCGGCATTATTCACTACATGATTTTCCTTACACAAAAGAGAAATTAAAAACCCCACATATATATATAAACACCCACCTTTCCTGGCATTATCACTCATGATTTCCTTACGACAAAAGGAGAAATTAGAAACCCCAACCCTCTTTTCCTCGCACCGGAAAGAAAGAGAAACCCTTAAGACCTCTCTTTTATTTGTAATGCTAATGCCTCTGTTTAGCCCAAAAACTTACGGAGCTCTCACATAATCTCTGTTTCGCTCCATTCTCCTCCATATAAATAATTCAATACAACCCTTATTTTTAAGCTTTTCTTCGAAAACATGGCTTCCATGGTAGTTCCAAAAAGCTTAAACCCAGAAGCCCCTGAATTTTTTCCTAATTACTACTATAATCCACAAAATCAAATCACCCAATTTTTCTATTACGTTAATTCTCCAATCTTTGCCTCTCCAGCTCCTGATCCCCGTAGTTACTATTCTGCCCCTCCACCTTCTTCTCCTTATGTTTGCTACCCTAATAAGAACGAAACCCTAGTCTCACCCACTGTACCAACTGTGACTGAACCAAGCCCTGTAATTACGGTTTCTGGCCAAACCCATTTGGTGCATGAACCCCAGGTGGGAACACAAGTGGTGGCTCCTCGAGGAGGAGAAAGAGAAGAAGGTGGGTTTTGTGGGAACAGGAGAGGTCGTGGGATTTTTAATGGAAGGCAAAAAGGGTATTATGGTCATAATCAGAAAAAAAGTTTGAAGCAACAAGAATGGAAGGCTAAAAGTGATGATGGTGACGATGATGGTTATAAAAATTTCAAGAAGATTGGGTCTAGTAGTAGAAGACATGCAAAAAGATCTTGTTCGAGACAACATTATTCATTTGTACCCATTGGTCCTGATCAAGAAAATACTACTGTTATGATTAGGAATATACCTAATAGATACTCGTATGGTGGCAAAAACTCTTCATATTCTCTTTCGTAGTTTATATGTTCCTTTGCATGTATCTTTTGGCAAAATTAATCTCATTTATTGTTGTTCGTTTTTTGCAGGAGAGAGCTTTTAATGGAGTTTCTTGATGATCACTGCATGCAAGAGAATGAAAAGGTTAAAATAAAGAATGAGACAATTGTGTCAGCCTTTGATTTCTTGTATCTTCCTATGGACTTTGAGTACGTTTTCTCTTTTTAGTTTACACTACTTCATTTAATGCTTATTTCATTTTTATAAAGGGTTTTTTTCTTTTTCTTTTTTGTTCTTCAAAATAGTAAGACGTTGTTTCTTGGAAAACCAACTGAGAAAAAGAAGTTAAATTCACATTTTGCACTTTATTTTCTCTTAAAACATCAAACAGGAAAACTAAAATAGAAAAATACAGGCATACCAAACATCCCCTAATATTTGCCTCTTGTGGCTTTTCGTATATTGCAGAAACAAAGCCAACAAGGGCTACGCCTTTGTGAACTTCACAGAGCCAAAAGCCGCATGGAAGTTTAACATAGCAGTTCATAACAAGCGTTGGAATCTTTTCCAATCAACCAAGATTTGTGAAATAGCCAGTGCAAGAATCCAGGTAAAAAATATACATAAACATAAACTGACCTAATGCTTCGGTTTCTTGCAAAAATAAGCCCAACCCACTTTTCTCTTTTTTTCCCATTCTCTTTTATTTCTTTAATTTACTTATCTTATTTGTATTTGAAAATGTGATGTATATATCTATATAAATCAGGGAAAGAAGGAGCTGGTGAGGCATTTTGAGAGCTCTGTGTTTGAGTGCGAAAGAGATGATTATCTTCCCGTATGCTTTAGTCCTCCTCGTGATGGTTCAAAGGTGACTGTGAAGGAAACGATAGTAGGGAGACGTATCGGTAAGTGGTAACCAAATCTAGATCATTAGATTGTGGTGGCCATGATTGGACAACATCAGTTTCTGCATATTGCTTATCTTATATAGCTTGTGTCAGTTAGTTCTATAACTAGTTGAGGAAGTTTCAGTTTTTTTCTGTTTTTCTAGTTCCATTAGGTATGCTATTGCTTATGCAAGTTTCTTTTGCTAATGATGTAATATTAGGTAAATTAGGGTGCTGCCTCTAGTTTATAGGGTAAATGCTAGGAGCTAGCTGTTGTGAAGATCAAGAGAGGGTGGATACTGGCACTTGGTACTTTGGAAGGGCAGGTGGTGGGATTCACCCTTCTTAGTTTAATTTTCTTTTTTAATGTATGAATGTGCAATGTAATGGCATGACATGGTTTTTAGACGGTGGAATACAAAAACATCGTTTGCCCCTATAAACTTGCCAAAAAAGTTTTGTGTTCTCCTCTATTTTCAATTTCTATAAGTTTTGTGTTCACCTTTTTTATTTATTTATTTCTAAAGTGTTCTATTTCTAAAGTGACTTGTGTCATCTTAAATTTTAATTTTTTATAACTGTACACCTGGTCAGATTAGTAAATTAGGTGTCCAACACGCCCGCGGATGATGTGGATAATTATGTTTCCAAGTCACCATTAATTTTGCCACATGTATATGCAATAAAAAATTTATGAATTGAACCAAATCAGCAACTAAACCCAAAATCCCTCCTTCCCCTTCCTGATCGCATCACAACTTCGATCGAGATGTGACGTTGCATATTCCTTTTCTATGCAGCGCCACCACCACAAACCTAGCAGCAGCACCTCCACAATAATGAAATACCAGTTTCTTGACTCCTTTCAATAACAATAATGCACCACCCACCATCAGATCCACTCGTCTTCTTATCCAATCTTTCTATTCCTCTATTAGATCAAAACTACTGAATCTTTTCTGGGTTCTATTACTTGTTCTGCTATTTCTTTCTCTTTTACTTCTTTGTGGTTAATGGGTTTTTTTTCTTTTTTCCTCTATCGCGTACCATGGATCAAGAAAATGAAAAGAAAAAAAAAAAAAAGAAGAAGAAAAAGAGAGAACAAAAACAAGAAGAGGGGAGAGACAATGGAGTTCTTTTGTTTGAGTTTTTTGTGCAATTTTTTCTCTTTCTTGTTTTAATTCTTTGATTGGTGGATCGTGTGATCTAATTTCCCTTTCTTTTGGCGTTCCAGTGACCTGAGCTGAAGCCGCACCGACCACCGCTATAATCAATTCCGGCCACCGCAGCAGAGAGATGAGATTTTAGTTTGGGAATAACCCAAATCTTTGCAAAAAGAAAATAGGATGAGAGAGAAAAAAATAAATTTAATAATATTGTAATTAATTTAGTAACAAAAAATAGTTTTTTAATAATATAAAATGTCATCTAGTAATATTTTACAATTTCAAGCGCAGGGAAAAAATTTGTTTTTGCGTGATTGGATTAATAAGGGTGTGATGTTAACAATTTTACAACTTTATCGTGTTACAAGGTTATTTTGAAAGTAAAAAGGATCACAAAACTTTTTTGCTCTAGTTCAGGAGGCAAATGATATATTCAGCCGTTTTTAAATTATCTTTCCTAATTTGGCCGATATATATAAATAACTCCTGAAGTTTCACGAAAAAAATCTTGTGACTCTTGTATTTTCAAAGTAATCTTATGATATTTAAATTTTACGTTTTGTAATTTATATACGCCTGAACAGAGTAAAAAGTATGAAATGAATCGCACGCTCGATGACGTGGATTAATGGCAATCTGGATGTTAATTATGTTGAATGTCATCTCACCTTAGTTAGTTAGTTAGTTTAGCTTTCTTTAAATTTCTCAATTTCTTTTTGTTCTTTTTCCTGAAACTTCCTTCCTTAATACACCGACAAGTAAATCTCCAATGCTGCTGGTTTGTCTGATTTTCATTTTGTTTGTTTGATCGATTGAGAAGAAGCTGAGAGTCAAAGGAATATCTTGTGAGTTCATGAATCGTTAGCTGTTGCTTTATCATTAGTCCAAAGAGGGAAAGAAAAGAAATTGAGTTCCACATGGATTGTTAATGCTGATTTGAATAAAGAAGTGAAAATTTTCAGACAATATGGCTTTCAGATTAGTTTTTGTATATAGGATGATGATTCATTTTAGTTTTTGTGTAGATTCATTTTCTTTAGCTAGATTGTTATGACTCTTAGTTCGAATTTTTCTTTTCAACGACAATCAACAATTATTATTGAGTAAAAGAAAAGTCGATGAAATGAATCGCGGGAGACGCTCGGATGACGAGGTGGATTTAATGGCAATACTGGATGTTAATTATGTTGAAGTGTTCATCTCACGCTTAGTTAGTTAGTTAGTTTAGCTTTCGTGAATCTCAATTTCTTTTTGTTTCTTTTCTCCTGAAACTCTCTTCTCTATATACAGCCGGGACAAAGGTGAGTTAAAATGGATCTCCAAATGCTGTGCTGGGTTTGGTGGCTGATTTTTCATTTGGTTTTGGTTTGATCGAGTTGAGAAGAACGCTTCGAGCGAGGGTTTTTCCCAAAAGAAAGGAATATCTTGTGAGTCGTGATGAGCGTTAGCTGTTGCTTTATCATTTAGTCCAAAGGTCAGGAGAAGAGAAGAGGAGAGAAAATTAGTTGACGCACATGGATTGTTTGAGATGCTGATGTTTGAATAGAAGAAGGTGAAAAGTTTTCAGCAATATGGCTTGTCAGATTAGTTTTTGTAGTGATGAGGATGATAGTTCATTTAGTTTTTTGTTGTAGGATTCATTTTCTTTAGTAGATGTTATGACTCTTAGTGTCGGAAATTTTTCGTTTTCAACGACAATCAAAGACAATTATGTATTATTATGTTGTTTTTGTCTTTTCCGGTTTGAGTAGGAATTGCGGATGGGTATTCAGAGTTACTTTGTCTTAAAGCATCATTAGTCCAAAGAGGGAAAGAAAAGAAATTGAGTTCCACATGGATTGTTAATGCTGATTTGAATAAAGAAGTGAAAATTTTCAGACAATATGGCTTTCAGATTAGTTTTTGTATATAGGATGATGATTCATTTTAGTTTTTGTGTAGATTCATTTTCTTTAGCTAGATTGTTATGACTCTTAGTTCGAATTTTTCTTTTCAACGACAATCAACAATTATTATTATTATTTTGTTTTTGTCATTTTCCTTTAGTAAATTCATGGGTTTCAGATTACTTTTCTTAAGCAAATTATAATTTTTGACAGAATATCCGGTTTGTTTTCTGAAGAAATTATTTACCTAACCCATATAGATGTTGAGTAGATAAGATCTTATCTATATGATATCCTTTTTTTTTTTCATGAAAATTAACTCTGTTATCCTTAATTATTCTCAATTAACTTAATTAACATGACCTCCTTAATTATGTTATATAAAGTGCCACGTATTATGCTATCAGGTCACCTAACTTGCTGCATTGCGTCTGTATAGATTACAAAATGTAAAATTCAAGATCCACAGGGTCATCTTGAAAATAAAGGAGGCTGCGAGACTTTTTGGTGAAAGTATAGAGAGCGATTTATATATCCGGTCTCTCTATTTTTCAAATATTTTAGCATATGCCTAAAGAGTAAAAAGAGGTAAGAAAAAGGAATAATACTCGATTTTTATTCTTTTTCCATTTGCTTTTCTTTCTAGATTGGAATAATACTCGAATTTTGCTTGAACTTGTTTAGAATATGCAATTTGATATAGATGTTTAAGGCAGAAATTGCAGAACACATCAATTAATGCCTATTGGAAAAAAAAAAAAAAAGTTATATTCTGGTTTAAAAGGGCCATTTTGAATAAAACAGGCTAGGGCTAATGATTCAACTTTTTATTTCGTGAGGCTTTTACAATTTTTTAGCTAATTTTTTTAATTTTTTTTTTTTTTTTCTGTCATCTGTTCGAAGTGTTATAATAATGGTTATTTCATGTTAATAGATGTGTACGGCCATTCGGCTTATTCATAGGTTTAATGTATAAATTTGATATAGAGATTATCTTTGTGGTCTTTAAATTTTTATGCTTTTTGTAATAATTATGTTCCTCTTTTAAATGAAAGTATAGAATTATAATTGAATTTCTATACAATTCTTTTTATTTTGACGAAGAAATTGAAGGGATTGAAATGTAACGGTGTATAATTATTATTGAAACGTAAAATTATACGATTATCATTGAATTTTGTAAAATTTAAGGGCAACAAAGAAAATGGTATCCATTTATACATTTCCATGACCTATTTTTTTAAGGTTTTCATGACCTATTTGTTAAGGTAAAAATTTAAGACGTTTAAGAAATTTAATAATCCATAGGCCAACTTTTCTTTAACTCGTTTCTAATTATAGTCTTAGAAGGTAGAAGATGATAGTTTTAAAGTTCTCTATTCTATTCCTATTTTCGTGTATATTTATATGGATAAATATGTTGTTATTTCTATTAATCAAATTTTGAAGTGAATAAATAATTTAAATAAATTGAACCGTTCAACTACAAACCTTACTCTCTCCCCGGTTCATATATGTTATCTAATGGAAATTTAAGATGGGCTTAAGTTAAAAAATAAAAATCAATATTTAGAGGGCAAAATTAAAAAAGAAAATAAAAATTTTAAGTTAGGAAGACGAGAGAAAAGATAGTAAGAGGAGAAAATGGAGAAAGTAATTATCGATGCATTTAAGTTTGTATGTCTTGAATTTCGTAACTTTTACAATAATATCATATTATAACTATTATACGAATTTTTTTAAAGGTAAATAATAATATTAATATTATTATTATTATTACATTATAACTATTATAAGGGTTTGAGGAATATACTTAAAGAAAATATTATCCATATAGTTTTACAATACAATTTCTATGATATACAATCTGTATAGTATATCATGTGCGGGCCCTTTCAACTTAGTTTGTGTTCTTCATGGGCTCTGGGCCTTGGGCTTGCCATCTGCGCTTGAAATTAGACCGGAAACAATATTGATCGAGTAATAACATGCAATAAGAGTGAATCTTTTAAAATATATACGTGTGTTATTGGACTAACCTATCTTTAATTGGCTTAACATTTTATATATATATATAATTATAGCATATTTCAGATTTTTAAATTTTAGTTCTAAAAATATCATTTTGACTGAAATTACTAAAATAATATTATTTTTATTAGTTATTTATCTAATTACCCTTTTCTTTTTTAAAACCTACCGTTTGTTAGACATTTCGTTTTTTTTTTTTCTGTTTTTTCTTCTTTTTGTTTTTCCGGGGAAAATTATAATATGATCCATGTGATTTGTTGTGAAACACAATTAGTGCGTTTCTATCTTTTTAAAAATGTACCAATTTGTTCTTATATTTTACTTTTGTTATACTATTAGGTCATTATCTCCATTTTTTGCATCTAATTCCATTAAGAACAAGAAAACATAAATGTCGTAGGAGAGATACTATAATATTATATAAAAAAAGTACAGTACGGTTTTTATAGTTTGAAAAATACAACTAGTCCGTTCTTGTATTTTTAAAAATAAAATGGGTATTTTCATTATTTTAGAAAGTACTTAACGAAAAAATGTAAAAATTATACGGAATGACCTTATAGCCTGATGAAAGTAAAATATAATGATGTTTTAATCTATTTTTAAAAATATATGGACAAACTAACTGTATGTCGTAAACCACATGGATCATAGTGTAATTTTTTTTTCTTTTTTTCTTTTTGTGTAAACCATCAATGTCCAGACCTAATTATTAAGGACTGCCTAATCTAATTTGGGACTTAGTCACAGTTAAGACTCTTCGCCTCTCTCTATAGGTATGTTTAGTGTGACATCCTACCGAGTCGAGTCTTTGCATAGTCGAGTCTTTGCATAGAGTCGAGTCGAGTCGAGTCGAGTTGAACCAAACCCGGTTAGGGTAGTCTTTGCATAGTCGAGTCTTTGCATAGAGTCGAGTTGAACCAAACCCGATTGGGGTAGAATGAGTTTATTAGTGGACTTACTTGATTGAGAGAAAAAGAGCAAAGTATAAAGATTTGGAGTTACTTGCATTAGAAGAACAAGTTTGGGTATTAAGTTGTAGCTTTTACCCAATTGAGGTACCATGTAGTACGTTTCCATCATTTATCTTGATTTTGTGATGACTTACCCGTAATCATCCCATTCACTTTCCCATTGTTCATCTTTATCTTTATCTTCTTCATATTTCTTCACTCCTTCATTTTCCCTTTATTCTCTTCTCCATCAATTAGGCAATCCTCAAATTTCTCCAAGTAAGTAGAATTACTTGCAGCTTATTGTTATTCAGTCTCTACTTGAGTGAATATTGGTAGATAAGTTGTAAGAATTTTGATGTGTATAGGAGAAGGGGAGTTCAAAGAGTGTAGAGAAGAGAAGCTAGAACGAGCTACGCGTTTTTGGGAGTTAAAGGTTTGATATCTCTTGATGTTTTATTTTATTGTCCTTTGCATGAGAAATTTGTGTGGCTGTGGTTGCTATTGAGACAATATGGCTTCATGTTGGAGACTGTAGTGGTGAGAAACGGGGAGGTATTGCAGTTTTATGTTGAAACAGGAGAGGACTTCATTCTTGATTTGACCCGCCATTTAAATTGAGGGAATTTAGGAAAAGTGTCATAGAAGAGTTATTTTTGTTTCCTCTAATGTGTTAGCTTTGCATGGGTTTTTTTGAATCACCCAAATTGGGATTTGGTATATGAGAGATATAACCAAAAGAGGCAGACTGCGCAGCGCTGAAACGGTTCGCGACTGGCCACTGCGTAGGCTGGAAGCACGTCGCGCGCATCGCGACTTTGCACTGCGCCGCGCGCAGACTTCCACTTCAAAACTCTCTGACTCTCAATTGGCACATTACGCGTCGCGACTCTCAATGCGCGCATCGCAAGTTGGCGCCTTGGCCTGGAAGCGCTTGCGACTTGGCACTGCGCGCTGCGTAGTTGGCCATGACCAATCACTGTTCTACATTTTGCACATTACGCGATCGCGACTTCCATGTTCGCTCTCGCGACTTTCACCTGAACTTACTGTCTCTCATTTGGACCTACGCAGCTCCGGACCATTCAAGTACCGATCGCAACTTGTGCTGATAAACACTTTGTCTCTTAATTTTTTGTATCAGCGCTCCGGCGACTTCCACAGGCCGCGTCGGCGACTTGGCTTTTTCTGCATTTTTTGGACTTTCTTTTTCTATGCTAATGGGTTCTTTGCTCAACTTGGTATGCAATCCAATCATTTTCAAACAAAAAAGAAACATTAGAACATGTATCATAAACAACATCCAAGATGCAAATGATGTGAAATCATATGAAACATTTATAATTTATGAAGTGATGAACTATTACATGATGTTGTTTATACATTTGACATCCAACATTATGCTCCCTTTGAGGTTTAGGTAGAAACCATGTCGATAAGGCAATGTCCGCGACATAGGATAGCAGATTCGCGCCTCATACAGTTTGTTATTCTCAGGCTTAACTTACTCCGGCTACAGGCCGTTGAGTGGATATGATTATATGGGCCATAGCAGCCAAGTATACAGTATTCATCCAGTTTATACAGTTTTCTTATCACCTCGATTTCGCTATAACCTTATGGAGCCATACAGATATCTGGACATAACATTGCATAAATCATACAGATAAATGAAAGATATCATGATATGTGTGCTGTGCCTTGTGTGCCTACATGATTCTTTATATACAAGTATGTGCTTTATTGTTTCTTTCCATGTTGAGATATCCACTGAGCTTTATTTGCTCAGCGAGTTACCTGTTTAACTCGCAGGTTTTGAGACTAGTCCATAGAGGGTCCGTTTAACAACTGCTGCCATTCATCTGTAGAAGACTCGGTCTTCAGGGTAGAAACTCATTTTGTTATTCTTTTATGGCATGTACGAGGCACACAGTTGGGCCCAATCCATTTTGTAACTAGTATCATGTCTTGTAAATATTCAGTACATTATTACTATAAGCAATCTCAGCATGATATTAGATTTTCACATACAGGATGATGTTAGCATGACAGGACATATAGTCAACCAGTTTGTAGCGTCTCGTCTCGGTTTATTCGGGTTTACGGGTGGACCGAGAAGGAATGTTACAAAAACCTTTGGGTTATCCATTATTTGAAGCTCATTGCAACAAGCTGCGTCTTTGGTCTCCTACGACACAGCTTGAGGGGGGGGCTGTTAATGATTATCTTCAGCTCCAAATTCTATTCTATTCCTTAATTTACATCATCAACTACGCCACAATTCATAAATTTTCTTGTTGTTTTCTTTGGCAGTCATGAATTATGCTTCGATGGCAAGACCGGCATAAGAGTCATGGTTGCAGGCAATCGCTTCACTGGACTTGATTTTGTTTTTGTGATTTTGTTCTTCTTCTTATTTTTTATTATAATTGATAGGGAAATCGATTCAAACTATGATATAAAGTATTTATGGAAATAAAAGTAAAAAAAAAAAAGAAATTCGTTCAATTCAATTGAAAAAGAGCATTTTTTTTTTTTTTTTGTAAATTTTAATATTTAGTATAGATTCTACTTTGACTTTAATAATTTTTACTTCGATTATGGCTTCTTTTTTTATTTTCACACGTTTTTTCACAAAGGAATAGCAAAATGTTCTGAATTTATTGGGACGCAACACAAACAAGACAAAAGATTCTACTGTAGAAATTAAACATTATTAATTCGCTAATTAAAGTTTTTTTTGAACGATTTAAGTAATTTGCTTGAACCGAGAACTATATTACTAGGGATGAGGCTAGGTCGATATTTAGGTACATCTTCTCAAGCCTCGCCTGAAATTGAAGAAGTATATAAAAAAGCATATGTATGTATTTTTTTTTTATTGATTTATATTGATTTTTTTTTTTTTTACAGCCAGGGTGCAGGAACGATATTTTTTTTTGTCTGTATGTTATTAAAAAATTTATATTATTATTTATAAAATCAATAAATAATAGATATTACTTATACAAATGTATTATAAATAATATATTATTGACTGAAATTAATTATTTCAGTTATTAGTTACTAATTAAACCAAAGTGGAAAAGAAAAGAACCTTCCAACTGAAATGGTAAAAATGTTAACGTTATAAATACATACACATAAAGCCAAAGGGGTGTTGCGTAATCGAACTCGCGACCTCTCGCACCCGAAGCGAGAATCATACCACTAGACCAAACACCCTTCGATTCGTATACGTGTCAGATCAATAAAATCCATAATTATCATCAAATCACCCCCTTTTCAAGGCTTTACCAGACCAACTGGGCCACAAACCTCATGGCGGTAGCATCCTCATCGGTTCATGTCCTCCACCGCCTCCTTCGCCCACCTCCACCACAGCCACCAGTTCTCCCCTTTGTAACTCCTCTTCCCACCGCCACCACATGTGCTATCGCCGCTAGCATCAGCAGAAAATCTATTCTCCTCTCCAAATATTCAAAATCGCGGCCTCACTATACCACAGTGAAGACCATCCTCTCTTTTCTCTATCCGCTGTCTACTACTGCTGCTTATTCTCTCCTCCTTCCACACTCTCTCTCCACATCTTCACCTAATAAGTCTCATTCCTTGGAAGAAGATGAAGACGATGATGGCGAAATTGAATATGCAAAGGAAGATATTGATACTAGAATTGAAAGCTTGGAAGTGGGGGACGCTAATGTTGTTATTAATACTAGTGATGGGTCTAGTAAAGAAGGTTTAAGTAGAAGTGGTTTAAAGGTACCGAATTTGACAGTGAAGGAAAAGAAAGAATTAGCTTCCTATGCGCATGGATTGGGCAAGAAGCTCAAGTGCCAGTTAGTGGGCAAGTCTGGAGTTACAGATAATGTTGTTTCTTCTTTTATTGAGACCCTTGAAGCTAATGAGCTTTTAAAGGTAAATGGTTTAGTGGAATTTCTCTTAGCTATGAACTTTAACTTTGCCACTGTTGTTAATTTTTCATTTATGAAATGGATGATTGCTTTCCTTAGGGTTTACATGTTATGGGTCTTTATATATGTATATCTATATTTGTATTCATTTCTTGGACATTGGAATCAGTGTTATCAGAATCTTAGTATTCACGATTCGAATAGTAGGATTCGATTCAATTTTCATGCTTAAGGGATTCAAACTATTCCAATTGCTTCTCATGCCCAAGGATTCTCTTACCCAACAAAACAAGTGGAAGAGTCGATGTAGAGAAAGAAGAGCAAGAAAAAAATAATTATATTAGAAGATGAAGATGTTGAAGAGCTTAAATTTGGAGATGGCAATGAATGAATATGGATTTGGATAGGAAATTTAATAGTTTTACTTTGTTTTTGTTTTAAAATTTTAACGTCATAGTTTGATATTTTGAACTTGGCAACTACACAAGTCTTTAGGTTCTCTCCCATTTTGTGTTTAGTACATGATTTAGAATTGAAATTTAGAAGTACATTATTTGCCATGAAATTTTTAGTATCTTTTGATAAAATTAATGTAATTATATCCATAAATGTATGTATGTATATTTTTAACTAATTTTGAAACTTGATTCTTGATTCTTGATTCTCGACTCTAAAAATGGGAATTTCCATTCTCAATTGACAACTATGATTGGAACATTAGGGAAAGCCTTGTTTTATGATTAGTTCCCTGGTGGAAGAAAGTTCTCCCTTCAATTTTATTATTATTATTTTTTAGTATTTTGGGTATTGATTCTTGATGGAGGAATCTCAATTCAAGTGCTCTTCAGCTCCTTCTGCTGGGAGCTACGAATGTGATTAGTAGTGAGATATTTTATTCAAATCAATTGACACAAAACTTACAGGTAAAACTACTCGTTGATTTTACTTTGTTCTGGTATTAATTGGTGTTTTCTTTTAGCTAGTTAGCAGTGTTGATTATATAGTGGGTATATAACTAACTAGTTGTGATTCACAAAATACTATGGGATATGCTAACATTTGGTGGATTATTACTACTAAAAACTGGGTTGGTCCTGACACCGTTGTGATGCATATTATAGTCTCACTTGGTATGGCTTGAAGCTACTTATTAGTGACAACACAACTGTTGTCCATTTTACTGTTGTTATGTATTGTATAATCAAATAAAAGTTTTTATTCTGAAAGTTTGGTGTATGATGTTCACTAGAGGCAACCAAATTGTTGTGTTCACCAGAGCACAGTAAATAAGAAGAAGAGCTGATTTAAGTTGGCATTTGCTAAAAGTTAGTGATAGAGTTCATGAATCATTCCCTTTTAGCATATTAATAATTCTCCTTAGGCTTGTTACTAGTCTACAAAGTGATAAAACATAGTCATATATGATGACATCTCAAAATCATTTGCTAATCATTGTTTGAACTTTTCGATTGTGCAAGCATTCAAAAGGACTAGGTGAATAGCTGTGGGTGTGCACTGTTTTTTCATTTGTTTTTGTATTTGTTGTAAGCTATGAACTGACTATTATGATACCACTTTTGATTGGGTTACTTAAGAGTATGGAATTATTTGGTGTGCAAGTGAACGCTTACATGCCTTGAACAGATCAAAATACACCGGAGTTGTCCAGGAGAGCTAGAGGACGTGGTTCAAAAATTGGAGGCAGGAACTGGGTCAGTGGTGGTTGGTCAAATTGGTCGGACAGTGATTATATACCGACCCAGTCTCTCTAAATTGGAGGCGGAGGAGAAAAAGCTACGTGCACGTAGAGTTTTTGTGAGAAAAGACTCAAAACTGAATCCTGTGTCACTGGTAAAGATCATGAACGAAAGCTTCCTTTCCTATAATTCGTCTTTCACAATTGTTTCAATTCAGATGCATTATTGCCTAACTTGGAAAGTTGAGAATTTACTGATCAGCTTACTGAAATTGTAGCCAACAAGAGTACAAGTACCAAGGCTATCTGGGCGTGGTCGTCGTGGAAGATCACGAACTGAAAGGACGCAAAACTGAAGCCTGTATCGCTGGTAAAGATTGTGAACAAAAGCTTCCTTTCCTTTAATTCTTCTTTCACAATTGTTTCAATTCAGATGCATTATTGCCTAACTTAGAAAGTAGAGAATGTACTGATTGCCTTACTGAAATTATAGCCAAGAGGACAAGTACCAAGACTATCTAGTGTGTTCGTTGAGGAAGAAGCAGGATATGAATGCTATTTTCTGAAACTATTGCTGGAATTATTTTAGTGCAGCTGAGTGGAACATGACCTTTGCTTCAGAAATATTCCCAAGGCAACAGATTTCCAGAGTTTTTAGTAGCAGATTGGATAATGAAAGTGAACTCAATCAGAAATATTCCCAAGGCAACAGATTTCCAGAGTTTTTAGTAGCAGATTGGATAATGAAAGTGAACTCAAGGGGCTAGCAGATTGGATAATGAAAGTGAACTCAAGGGGCTACATAATCCACTCTAGACTTCATTTTTTGATAGATAGAGAATGCGTAAAAAAGAGGCCTGAGCTAATTTCACTACTTGCACTTGGATGGTGTTGTTTGCATCCTTGATCCTGAAACTGCAAGGACAATGATTAATGTTAATTGCTAAATTGCATATACTCAGTGTTGAAGGTTATTTCTCCCTTTTTTTTTTTTTTTTTGGTCTTTTGGTAAAGTCAGTTGAACTGATGTCCAAATATGCACTCAAAGACTTGGCCTAAGAATATATTCATCTTCCAATACTTGAAATAAAACATGCTGTGTTCTGGAAGAGAACGTTGATTGAACATAAATGAACCATCTCTTGCATTTCAAATTTTCCTTAAGGGCTCAATTGATTTTTACAACCCAAACTTTAGGGCTTATTGCAATTGCATGCTACCTTTGTTGTTAATTGCAATCCTATTCGACAATTTAGTTGCAATTATACCTTATGGTCAAAGTTGATAAAAAAATGTTGGTTCTATTAGTTTGTATAATAAATAATTAATGTTCAATTTTGTCTAATCAAGATTATATCCCGATGAATAAATAAAATATTATGTTCAATTATCATAGGATATAATTGCGAAATAAGGATATAATAAGAAAAAAGGGGGTATAATAACATTTAGGCATGACAAAGGTCTGGTTTGAGATGACATTTATTTTTTTTTTTTTCTCAATTTTAACTATAGAAATGCAATTGCAACTGAGTTGTCTAATTTGGATGCAACAGTAAAAAAAAAGGATGCAATTGTAAGAACTCCAAAATTTGAGAGAGAAAATCTGAACTCAAAGAACAACATTTCAGCGTAATGCAGAAAGCTTTTGAAATGTAGTCTTCTGATCTAGGAAGTAGTATTTGCTGTGAAAGTACTATATATATATATATATATATATATATAGGAAGTTAGTATTTGCTGTGATGAAAGTAGCGTATATATATATATATGATGAGTAGTATTAAGCAGCTTGAGATATGGCACGTTTTTGCCTCTTCCATTTAGGCATTAAAGAAAGATTATAAACACTGGCTATTGATTCCCTCAAAGTAAGAAGCATGTAAATTGAGCAAGTACTATATATATATATATATATATATATAAGCAGCTTGAGATATGGCACTTTTGCCTCTCATTTAGGCATTAAAGAAAGATTATAACACTGGCTATTGATTCCTCAAGTAAGAAGCATGAAATTTGAGCAATTGGCAATATCCTGAACTATCTATCATATTAATTATACAAGTTCCGAGTTTTAGCTTTTAGCTTGGAACTATCTATGCAGCTTTTAGCTTCTGTAACTCTTTCTGGCTCAGCTCTTCAGAGAACAGTATGCCATTTGGGGAAAGAAGCCGTTGCAAAGTAAGGAAAAATCGAGCCTGATTTAAAAAAAAGAAAAAGAAAAGAAAAGAAAAATCCGCCTCTTCAAATAATTCAAGGATGAAATTACATATGCAAGAGTGTTGAGGATGCTATTCTTGTCTTACCCATTGAAAGCCTAGGAGTGTACACCAACATCCCAGCAATCCATATCCTTTGCTGTTCACAAGCTGGCAAAAACACCATTTTTAATGCATTAGAGGTCCAAACATGTTTCAATACAGAAAATAGGAGAACAAGAAATAGATATCTACCAAGAGCACTAGAGCACCCACAGAAAAGCATCCACTCATTGACATGCTAAGGTATTTGAGGTCTCGCCCAGCCTGCACAAGCAAACAGCACTTCTGATGCTATTGCATGCTATACACAATGAATATATAAATTATCTTAGAAATCTCAGAAAACATTCAGATTATATTTTAATCATACCAGCAATGTTCCTTCGAAGCTGAGAATGCAGGGTGTCACAGCTAGTGCCACAAAGAATGGTACCAGCACTTTGTGCATCTGCACAGACAGACATAGCAGTATTTAAATAAGTTATCAGATCATTTTTTATCTGTAGCTGTGAAAATGTATCCTATCATTTTGCATCAGTACAGACTTATTACAACTGAAACTGACAATTTAAGCTACCAAAATATATGATTATTTATCCGAGAGAAATGGCTCATTAGACATGTTCAACCTGCATGCCAAAGTACTTTCAAATGGTCTTCAAAATGATTGAATAAATAAAGACAATTTATAGCTGAACTTTTCTAACTTCGGTAACTGATATGATGGAGCTGACTTTCAGCTCAGCAATTCTTGCTTTTAGCTAGTCCTTGGTGATTTGCAGTCACAACACATTGATGCAAATCTGAAATCTTTATATAACAATAATTGATTATGAAAACTGCAGACAAGCTGCATTTTGTACAATACTAAAACAAGAACTAACCTCCTGGATGACCCTTTGGTCGGATGTGAAGATATTAGGGAACAACCCAGGAACAGATGTTCCAACAATCGCTAATAACAATCCAAGTAGGCTTCCAATGATCACCAGTGATTTTAGCAGCATTCGAGCCTGTTATATACCACAAACCCTGTAAAATACTTGAACAAACAAAAAACATGCATAGAGCTTCTTCAAAGTAGCTATTTCCCGCAAAATACGCATGGAATGTGTTGTATTCTCACTGGTTTTACACCACTAACCTTTGCCAAACTTCGATTGACTCCATACATCAACTCAGGCATAAATGATTGTGCAGTTTGAGAAAGAGGCTCACCCCAAACTGTACATGTCATGAATGCTTGAATCATGACCTAGAATAAGAGATTATACACAACCATCAATTCTCAAATATATCAACTACAGGACCTGGAAAAAGTAACAAGGATGAGCCTAACTAACCTGATGTGCAGCCAAGCTCAGTGTGCCCATCGATGTAGCAAAATATACAAGGAGAGAGTAGAAAGCCACCTAAGACATCCAAATTGTTTCTCATATATGATATATATGCAGAAGATAATCATAAGAACATAGCTAACTATAAACAACCTTTGACATCATCATTACAAACACTGGAGCAGCAAGCCTAAATATTGTCATGAGATCATCGGGTGATGGAACAGAGAAGGCATATGCATTATATCCCTTCTTGTTCAGTGAATCAAGCATCATATAAGCAGCAATAACCTGAAATATATACTGGTAACTCAGCAACTCAAACAATGGATGAAGCCCATGCTGATTATGGTATGAATCAATTGATTATCATACTTGTGATGCCATTGTTGCCCATGCTGCACCAGCTATACCGTAGTCTAGAAACCTGCAGAGGACTATATCACCAATGCCATTTATAGCACTGGCAACTGCCAATGCCTTCAAAGGTCCCCAGGAATCCTTCATGCCCAGGCTGGGAAATCAGAGAGCAAAACAATATTAGTTGGCTCAAAAGAATTTTATGAGGCAAAGCAAAAAATTAGCAAGTCAAGAGCCATCATACAAGAACCAAATTAAGGGGCTGCCAACTCATTTAGCAGATAATGCATGGGAAAAGTATATTATATTTCCACCTTGCACTTTGAGCAACCCATCCAATAAGAATTGCAGGCCATGCTAAACCTCGAATCTACCAAAGAAAAGGAAAGATTTAAAACGTTAGTATAAAACGTTACCCTACCCATTATGTGTTTTCCAAAATAATGTTGTTATTCTGTTGGTATGCACAAAAACAATATACTACAGTTCAGCAATAGGGCAAAGAAAAATATGGAAATACAATGGTTTTAAAGAAATGAACCTGGACATATGTGTTTGCCACAGGGACAATATGTAAATTGTTGTAACCTGAAAAAGCTGAAAAACAGAAAGAAAGAATAGAAAATTTATCAGTTTCATATTGGTCTCAGCTATTTCTCAAGCGCAGGTTCTTTTTACCCATTGTGTGGCATATGCACAAGATTGAGAAACCAAACGCAATTAAACTTAATTTTTTTTCAAAAAAAAAAAAAAGACACAAAAGCTGTACCGGTGTCCATTACCAGTTAATACTGATGCAGCAAAGAACTTGGTGAACAAAACCATCAGGAATCCACAAGTCAATGCAATAAATAGCAAGACAGATATTTGATGCTGCACTTCATTTTTATCCTGCACATATTGGGCATAATCAAACAAACTGCCCTTACATAGAAAATCGTGTAGTAACTAATCTTTAACTGAGGTAGAAAATAAAAAAAAAAACAGGAAAAACAAATATCACAAGATATTCACAATAAGCGTCAAGATTTACAAAAATGTGCATCAATTACTTGATGAGATCATTCATAGGCTATACTGAAGGATTTTGAAATCAATGTACAAGTGGTAGCTTTTAATAGTTTCTCAGAACATTCATGTCAGCTCCATCATGCTGCGTCAGGTAATTTCACATTCAGCATAAACAGACAAAAAGAAAAAAGAAATACTAGATACTCTTGAATTGATGACTTAATTTAATGCAACAAACTATGCCTTATGTGAGATAAACGCATAAGAATCTAACCTGTTTGGCAAGGGAAGTGGCGACCATATTTGATGTCGAAATTGATAGGAACATGAACAAATAACTCATATTGTCACACAAAACTGTCCCAGGACCTATCAATCCACAAATTTACTGTCAAGGCATATCTATTACTCTCTATTTCTTAATTGAGAAAACTAAATTTTGGAAAATAAATAATCCACATCATTTTACATCTATAATGATACTATCATAATAAGGGTCTAAACTCTAAACAATAGCTCATTTACAATCTAAACAAACTCATATAATAATTTCTTGAGTAACCAAAACAGGTTATACTAAAAACCCAGAAAAATTAAAAGGAATTATATTTATACCCAAAGCAGCAAGCTCAAGGGAGCTTCCTTGGCCAATAACAGCAGTGTCAATAAGACTCATCAATGGGCCACAAATCCAAAGACCTGTGGCCGGAGCTGTAAACATTATAATTTCTTTAATTTGCTGCCATAAGCTCTGACTCTCCAATCCCTCAATTTTGACATCCTCTCCTTCCTTTTCGTTTCCAAAAGAGAGAGAATCTGAAGCAACACTAACATCATTTTCACTGACAGTATGATTATCCACAAGTTCTTGGCTTTTACTTATGCAAGGAGTGACGAGCACTCTCTTTCTTCTTGCTTTGACAATGGTTAAGCTTGGACATAAAAAAGAAGTGGCCGGTGTAGCTAAAGAAAAAGGAGGTTTCTTGAAATGGATTATTAAAGATTTAGAGAGAAATTTGGGTTCTTGGGTATTGAAAGGATTGTGAGAAGACTGAAGAAGAACGGAGTGAATATGCATTTTCTTGAAACTGAAAACTTGGAGTGGAAAAGGGAAAATAGGAAGACAAAAATGGAGAAAAGAGCGGATCAGGACAGTGAGGCTTCTGAGTTATGTGTGCACATTTGGGATTAGAACTAGGACAAAGGACAGCAGTTCGAAGGAGGCAAGAAAGTGAGTGATTAAGGAGTGGTTTCATTGTAATTTTGAGTTTTTGAGGAAAACAACAAGAAGCTGGGACTTGAAAGAGAGTTTAGAGTTTAGAGCCACAGAAGAATAGTGCACATGTCATTCCAAGTTTAGAGGAAACATTTTGCTAAATTAGGATCGCACATTAATTGGAGATCCGACAGCTCACATGAATTTGTATTTGCCTGTGACCATTGGAGTAAGTGTACCAAATTTGTACACGAAGTGCTGCCTGATCCTGATGTGAAATGAAATCTGCTGACTCCACATCCAGTTAAATCATAAAAAGTATTTGCTTTATATGACGTATGTTCTTTTTATTGATTTGATTGAGTTTAAGATTTCACGTCATTTTTAAAATAGTTTAATTTGATTTCCATTTTACTCCATTAAATTTACTTTCTTTTCAATTAAACAATTTAAATGGGCCAAGTAATACTAGAGGCTCTACGTAACATGGGATACCTCTCCCATTAGAGCATCAAATCAGTAAAAATTCTTGTGATTGGAAGAAAAACTAAACTTCTGAATATTATGTATCGAATCTAAAGAATTGCAATGGTAGTTAGTTCTGTCTTAGAAAGTATTTTTCTTTCCCGTAGATTTATCTAAACTGATGGTTCTTCCGTTCTATTTATTGAGCTTAAATTCCCAAATGCAATGGGGAGAAATTTCAAAATTTGCTAAGAGGGAGAGATAAAGAGAAGTAATTAACTGAATTAATAATAAAATATTTTTATTAATTTAATTCTAATTGATAAAATTGATCATCCTGCTCGAATAAGGACAGCTTTGGGCCATATCGTAATCATCCTATTTGATGATTACGAGTAATATGAAACTTACAATTGATATCAGCTGTGAAGAAAAACACATCACAGCTTGAGTGCAGATTGCTACTTTGCACAGATTGACTCTCCAAAAATTAATGAGAACTCAATATCCAGATTTTTGCAGCTCAGGTCCTAGGTAAGGATTACAAACTTGATCTCTTTGTAACACCTTAAATTAAATTAACTGGCTGTCAGCTTCTCAATTTTATAGCGGCTCAAGTCTACAGAGTACAGTACGCCATCAAGTGAGAGAAGTCGTTGGAGGGCAAGGAAAAATCGAGACTGAAAAGAATAAATTTGCAAATTAAAATTTTTCAAACACAAAATGCTTTAATAATGTCCTGCTGCATTGTTAAACTTACCCATTGGAAGCCTACAAGCGCGAACCAGCAGCCGACCAGACCATATCCTTTGCTGTTTGTAAGCTGGCACCAAGTAAAATAAGTGATCATTAATAAAGTATGGGGAAATGGAAAAAAAAAAAAAAAAAAAAACTTTGCCACAGATTGATCTCCAAAAAAAATCCAATTGTAAACATGTCCAGAATCCACACTTCAAATTATCCAAGTATATGTTTTGCAATCTCAATTTGGAGGTCTAGAACATGTAAAAGTGGGATCTACATTATACGCATTGAATTCGTCTTTCCTCCAGGGTCTCTGTTCTTATAACACCTTTAAGAACCCGGATTACCCACCAATGGTAAACACTGAACCCTCTGTCATTAAGTGGCGCTTCTCAATTTTATAGCGGCTTCAAGTCTACAGAGTTACAGTACGCCATCAAGTGAGAGAAGTCGTTGGAGGGCAAGGAAAAAATCGAGACTGAAAGAATAAGAACATCCTTAGCAGAATTTAAAAATTTTATGCAATAACGGACATTAATTGAAACAACCTGTGCTTTAATAATGTCCTGCTGCCATTGTTAAAACGTTCAAACCAGTGTGAGTAAGGGCCCTTGGATTCAAGAAGCCCAGACAGAACCGGCAGCAGGCTGAGGGCACCCACATATCTTCAGAAACTGCCAGATCCATTGTTGGTATCTCTTTGGTGTCAATGTTAAGGGTTTCCTCGGTTCCACCCACAAACAGTAAATAAATCCATTGATAGAGCATATGAATATCATTTTATTAAAGGTTGGGGAAATGGAAAGACAAGAGAGAAATTACAAACAGAAAGACAGGATTCAGTTGGAAAAAGCAAGACAAAGGGGAAGTGACCGCTAATGTCCCACACTCAACTCTTACCCAATTTGCGAGATGTTTAAAGGCCAGTAGTAATTAGGAGCGTACCCTATAAGTGGACACCCAGAACGATATCTCTCTGATTACTTTATTCTACCTCAATGTCTATATTACTAGAGCATTTTTGCAAAAAAAAAAAAAAAAAAAAAAGGATTGAAAGGGAGACGTAGATCTCTACCATCAATATAAGGGTACCAAAGGAAAGACATCCTGTCATTGACAAGCTAAGAAATTTGAGATCTCGTCCAGCCTGCACAGACATAAACGTAAAGATGCCAGAACATAAGCTAGCATGAATTTGCACATCTTCTCTTTCATAAAGCATAAATCCATAAGCATGCTACACCAAACTTAGAGCTTTACTACATCAATATCAAACTATTCAATTGTATAATTTAGATTTTCGTGTTTTGTTTTGTGATCTTGAAAAGACCAACTTTTCCTGAATATCACGTACAGTGCATGCATATCTTCTAATTGAATTTGGTCTTGTCCCTGAAGGCTGGAACCCTGAAACACTAAGGCTATGACTGGTAAGCAATAATAGAATGCAATGTTATCTACAAATGCATCTCTTTTTTATCAGCTTTTTTTTTCTTTTTAAGATTCTTTGATACAGAGGTTCTGAGTCGATATTTGAAAAGAAACTTCAAAAGAAAAATCCTGTGTGCAGAATCAAGAGAGTCGCACATTAAAAGCAAAGTTCCCCCTAATTATCTATGATTTTCATAATCTCCTGGTTAGGCATAGCTTACCACAGTGACGAAGTACTATTCCCATATTGACAAAAAAAATTTTTTACTTATATTTTGATCTAGAAAATTGGATGCAAGTACAATCAATTATAAAAGAAATATCTACAGAAGATGTTCAGATATTTTCTCAAACCAGACATACCATCAATGTCCCTTCAAGGCTGTGAGTACTAGGTGTCACAGCCAATGCCAAGAAGTATGGTAAAAGCACTTTGTGCATCTGCATGAAGACAATAGTTGATATCAATGAATAAATTCCTAATTTGCAGTGTCTACTATCCGATTCCTAAACCGTTAACTTCAATGCATAAAAAAATACTCTTCTAGTTGAATTTCTTAGCATTATTTTCATTTATTAATAATTTATAAAATGTTAGATTGAGAAAATTAACAGCTCTCAAAATCCAATTGTTACTCACCATGGAGGATCTCAAAACATAAATAGAGTTGATAGAATTCAATCTGGTGCTATATAAAATAAGGAGCACACATGAGCACCTTGTGCTACATATGATTCAGTACAAAGTTGAAAATGGACACATAATGGTTGATTATATGTTATTGAATAAAGAAACAAACGGACCAGTAGCAGTTCCTTTGCTCATGATACCATATTACCACAAAAGTTCTAACACAAAATAAGTGAAAAAAAAAAGAGCAAAAAGAAGTGCTAACCTCCTGTATAACATTTTGATCAGGTGTAAAGAGATTTGGCAAGAACCAAGGGACAATTGTTCCAATGGCCCCCAACAATGCTCCAAGTGTGGCTCCAATTACCACAAGTGACTTTAGCAACATCCGTGCCTGTTTCAAGTTATAGATCTTTTAGAACGTGAACAAGCGAAACCTAAAACTCCGCAACACAAATTATCAATCATGCATTCCTAGATACCATCAAGAGAATAGAGTAGTTTTTCTTTTCCCATTAGAACCTACAAAATCTCTTTGCTTGCCACACAAATACAGTAGCAGGTGCTGTAAATATCACGAGTTTGAAGCATCACTTACTTTTATCAAACTTCGGTTGACACCATAAATCAACTCTGGCATAAATGATTGTGCAGTTTGAGAGAGAGGCTCACCCCATACTGTACACATGCTGTACGTTTGAAGCAAGACCTAGAGTGAATTTTTTAATTGTCAACGTATATAACCATCAGCTTTGTTGAGAGAGGGGAAAACTAGAAGTATAAGCATATCTAACCTGATGAGCAGCTACAGAATTTGTGCCCATAGCCGTAGCAAAGTATATAAGGAGAGAGTAGAAGACCACCTAAAATATTTGAGAGTCTTTGATTACTGAATTAGGAACATTGGGTAGATAAATGGAACAGAATAAAGTACAAATGTAACCTTTGACATCATTGTTACAAACACTGGAGTTGCAATCCCAGCTATCATTGAAAGTTCATTGAGCGTCGGAATAGAGAAAGCAAATGCATTGTATCCTTTCTTGTTCAAAGCTTCAATCATCATATAACCTGCAACAACCTAGAGCATATGTAGTAAGAGGAAAACCAAAAATAAAGCATGTGTATACCATTTTGGATACGCTTAATCAAGGAAGGTTAGGCATACTTGAGACACCATTGTTGCCCATGCAGCACCAGCAATCCCGTAACCTAAGAAACTGCAGAGGACTACATCACCAACAAGATTTAGAATACTGGAAACTGCCAAAGCCTTCAGAGGTCCCCAAGCGTCTTTCATGCCAAGACTGGACAGAGGAAAAAAAAAAAATTCAAATGGAAAACAAACCAGATGTACAGTTCAAAATTTTTAAAAATAACCATAAGAAATAATAAGTCAAAATCTTGAGTGCAAACAGACAAGTTAACATTAGAGATTTTAGGCATTAGGCAGATTAAAAATCATGACCATTAAATGTTTGAGATACATTCAAGATAATCTCTCTCAAAATAAGACATCCAATTTACAAGATCACCACAGTCCAAGTCGCGCTGTGCAATTCCACAGAAAGGTTTCCTAGCAAGGTCTCCAATTGACTCACGTGGACAAAGAAAAGAAGGAAAATCTATAGGGTTGCCAAAAAAAATTTGCTAGGAAAGGGAATGAACAACAGCACCAAATAACCATTAATATCTGACAAAATAAAATTATGCAGTACAAACAGAGATGGTGGTTACATGAGCTAACCAAGCAGAACATAAATCTGATACAGGATTCAAGCATAATGTAACAAGATCAATGCATTGTTATGTCATTCAGTACATAAAGCATGCAAAGATACAGCCTAAAGCACACAACAGTTTCACCTTGCACTTTGAGCAACCCATCCAACAATAACTGCGGGCCATGCATAGCCTCGAATCTGCCAACAGGAGAAAAAATTACATTCAGTTAAAGGTTATTGAAACAAAGAAATTAGAGTATAATATACAATAATTCATGATGAAATTGATACGATTCAATTACTGCAACAGAAGAATATCATGTACAGGAATGCTATATCAACCTAAATGATAAGCACTTCACTGATTCTTATATCTTTTTAACAAAAAAAAAAAATAAAATTATCTAAACGTCTATTATATATATAGTATATTATCACATCACTAACACAACTATATATATACACACACACACACACATACATATATATATTATTCAAACTAAAATCCAAATTTTTGTCTTAATTATTCTGAATTTTTCCAAAATACTGGACCAGAAATGAATAACTAGTATCTTTACTATTATGCACCAACTTCATATGCTGTAGAGATTTAGCAGAAAATCATCCATAAGAATTCTCATTGTTAAGGGTACATGATGATTAACTGTTGCATCTGTCACAATTTCTAAACTAGTAGTATCACACATTAAGCGGATAGTCTATATAGCCAATATACTTTCCAGATAATGAGCATGAGCAATGATGGGATAAAGATCTACACCACCTTAAATAGTCAACTGAAGCCTTAGTACAGAGTACTTAATATACGCCCATCTAACAAACAAACAAAAGGAAATTTTGAAGACTTAATTTTTATCATCTTTTCTTTTCAGTAAATTTATACTAGGGTGCATCAAAGAAAAAGGACCATGAGGGATTTATCAAGAAGATCATGAACCTGAACATAAGTATTTGCCGCAGGTACAATATGTACATTTTTTGGTCCTGTAAAAGCTGAAAAATACAAGAAAAGCAAATTCATCATTTGTTGTGTTAGTGATTCTAACTATATAAGCAGTGTTAGAAGCACAATATGACACAATAAAAGAAAAGAAAAAAATGAAAGAAAAGAGAAAGAAATTCCATCTTGGTGCCATGTGGAAAAAATCAAAAGCTTTACCAGTCTTTATTACCAGTTAATGTCCATGAACCAAAAAACCTTGTAAACAGAAACATCAAGATGCCACAAACCAACCCCACAAAAAGAAGGATAGATATTTGATGTTGTACGTCATTTTTATCCTGCACAAATATTATCTAGTGATAGTTACAAAAATTAAACAGAATATAAGAGAAATAGTATTGCATAAAATATGTCAAATATCCTTAGAAAAAGAATAAGAGGTAGTTTTCTATCTAAGAATATAGCCGTTAGGCTTTAATTACCCAATATAGTCGTTAGGCCTGAATTACCGAATAAGTCCTTGGTCATTTATGATTAGGTACTTGGCTAATTACTCATGAGTTACTGTTTTATTATATATTCTATCATCTAGTTACAAAGCAAACTAAAACCAGAGCAAATAGATGAGTGACAAGGTCAATGTCCATCACATGGTTCAAAAAACAACAATAAGAAAACAAGACATAGCTACTCTGAAAAAGAGAATAGAGCCAACATGCAATATTGGCAGTAGGAAACGATGAAATAATGACAGAAAAGAATAATATCCTGCTAAAAACACACATGGAAAATGTGCAAATAATCAATTCTATCCCTCCATGCTAGGCTTATGCTGACAACTGACCTTTTAAAATATTATCAGCTAGGGTCTACAGTGTGAAGGGATCATTATGAACCATATATCATTGGGAATGAATCTGGTTAATACAACTGATTAGGATGTTAGGATATGATACTAGTCTGAAGCTTAATTCTCAAACTGTTTTTAACACTAAAAACCAGACTTGGAATTTGTAATCAGTGTTCTCAGAATCTTATGATTCATATTTCGATTCAATTTTCATGCTAAACATTCGAATCATATGGGTGAATCGGAATCTTTGAGCCTTATGATTCGAGTCAATTCATGCCCAACAATTCTCTTACCCAACGAAACAAGTGGAAAAGTCAATGAAGAGAAATAAGAGTAAGAGAATATAGTTATATTAAAAGATGAAGATAATGAAGGGCTTGAATTTGGATATAATAATGAATGAATTTGGTTTTGAATAGGAAATTTAACAGCTTGGTGGTTTTACTTTGTTTTTGATTTAAAATTTTAACTTCATAGTTTGATATTTTGATTTTGACAACTAAACAAGTAATTAGGTTCTCTTTCATTTTGTTTTTAGTACATGATTCGGAATTGAAATTTATATAAATACATTATTTGCAATTAAATTTTTGGTAATATTTCGACAAAATTAATGGAAACTATCCATAAATGTATATATATTTATTTTTAATTAATTTTGAAAAGTTATAACGAATCTTATGATTAGATTAGATTCTTGATTCTTGATTCTAAAAATAAGAATTTCGATTCTGAACATGAGAGTTCTACCTTTACTGTTGCATAAAGAATGGAAAATCATTCTAATCAAAACACGCAAACATACAGACAATCTTTGTAGATGAATATCATCTTTCTAATTTCTAACGGGCAATAAGGAAACATGTATGGTCCACTATATCATCAATGTACCAAGCAGCTACACATAAAGGCAAAAACCATGCGCACACACATCAAGTAAGCTTGAAAATCAAACTGGCAACCCTGAAAAAAGATCAAACCTCCAGTATGACCCCCCAAAGCTATGCATATCACCATTTTAACTTTTCCTAATTGCATCTTAAGAATTATTTTACTTCTTAAGAGCAGTCAAAATTTGATCAAACAATGGGGGAATCAAACCTGTCTGGCAAGGGAAGTTGCAATCAAATTTGAAGTGGCAACTGAAAGGAACATAAACACATAAGACATATAATCACAAACCACTGTCCCAGGTCCTGCCCAACAAAAATCACAATTCAGCCAATTTACTTGCACTGGATATTAACTCAAGTAAAATTCCCCAAGATTATATATAAGAAAGAAAAAAAGCTACCTAAAGCAGCAAGCTCAATGGAGCTTTGCTGACCGATAACTGCAGTGTCAATAAGACTCATTAGCGGCCCACATAACCAAAGCCCCGTAGCAGGTCCTGTAAACTTTACAATCTCCTGAATTTGGTTCCATATACTTTGATTCTCTAATCCATCTCTTTTGACCTCTATTTCTACTGTTTCTCCTACTTCTTCTTCTTCTTCTTGAAAGGACGAAACTGAAGCTATTCTACTATCGTTTCCGCTCTCAGATACTGTATCATTATCAAATGCTACATCTTTGCCAGGGCTAATGCAATTGCTCGTAAATCGATTTCTCCGATGCTTTGCATTCGAAAGGTGTAAACATGAAGGGAAACGAGAGCCATGGATGCAAGGAGTTAGCTGTTTGTTAAAAGGAAGTGAAGGTTGAGAATAGTAACGCTTGAAATTAGGGTTTTGAGGAGAAATTAGAGAAGAAGAATGAAGACTTAGGGCATTGATTTGCATTGTGCTGTTTTAGCTAAAAATTGGAATTGAATTGAATTTATTTGAAATTGAGGAGCGAAGTGGAGAGAAGAGGCGTGTCGTGCTGGGGTTTTGATTTGTTTTGGCTCGCTTTTTCTTTGGGGAATTGCTATTTAATCCTTATAATTTAATAAAACTCATAAATTAGAATCTCTATTGCAAATATGACTAATAGTCTTTTTTTTTTTTTTTTTATTACTATTTAATCCTTAATAATTTAATAAAACTCGATAAATTTAGAATCTCTATTGCAAAAAATTATGACCTAATTTAGTCTTTTTTTTTTTTTTTTATTGTTCGATTAAATAATAATTTTATTACCTTTCTGTTAATTACCATGAAATGTATAATTTTACCATTAATAAAAATTTCTTTAATTTTTTTTTTTTTTTTTTTTTATTGTTCGATTAAATAATAATTTTATTTACCTTTCTGTTAATTACCATGAAATGTTAATTTTACCATTAATAAAATTTTTAATTTTTTTGCATGCCGCCATAAACTAAAGGTCTCTAAGTTTTTTTATTTTATTCTGAATTTTATCCATTCTAATTCATAAATAAAAACTCATTGGAGACAATAAGTCATTTTTATATTTAGATTAAATTATCAGATAAATTTTAGTAGTAAAATTTACTTTTTTTTTCCTTATGAAAAAACAAAAAATATTTAATTGAATTTTTAATTAACTAAAAAGTTTTAAAAAATCTTAATAAAAATAACGTTTACATTAAACCTACAGTTTAATGCAAATAATTTGTTATATTTATAATGTCAAATTTAAAATTTAGAATGTAGTTCTGGAACACATTAAATCTATAATTTTAACTTAAGCTATCATTGTTATATGATAATGCCACGTCTTATGTCTTAAAAAAAAACTTTTCAGTTTGAAAGTTAATAAAATAAAATGATTATTTAGTTGACTTCTAAAACAGACGTTATAAATTTTATAAATTATAAGGATTAAATAGTAACTGCTCCGTCTGTTTCTTGTACGCACCAGCAACCCATCATTGTTAATGTCCAAAATTGTTTCATGTGGAAGCAATGAAGTGGATGATACTGAGTGGTTAGGTTTGCTCGAGAGTTCACATTTCAATTTAAACGGTCTATTATTTGGACAACCCACAAATATTCAGACTAATAACCAAAATTATCCTAAATTTTGTAAGTTTTTCAAAATTTATCGCAATTTATGAATTTTAATTATTTTATCCCAATTTCGCAATTTATGATATAATTATCTCCAATCTCAAATTGTTGAGTTCTCTCCCTTAGGCACACCATGTACACGAGAAAAAATAATACCAATAAACGATAGGTAATTGCAGCGAAATACTTAAATTAAATTCGGATTTAAAACCTGACATAGTTAAAGTAGGTCTGACAATGATTTAATTTCAAATCAGAATCAAATTAAGACTGAATCGATCAATATTGGCACTGCATTATGGTCAACAGTTGTAGTTTCAAACCGTACTGAAACTGTATTTTAATGTTTGGTTTTGTTTTTTTACTTTTTGTAACCAAAATCAATAGTTTTGATTTAAAATTAATTATTCCGGTTTGAAACTGTGAAAAAATATTTTTTAAAAACTTCTAATTTGTTTCAAAATATTTTAAAGAACTCCTAAATTTGTTTCTTATTTTATTACATTTTCTAAAATATATTTTAAGATTTTTATTAAATTACTTTAGTCTTTTTCAATAATTATTATTATTATTATTATTATTATTATTATTATTATTATTATTATTATTCAAGCAACAAAACTAAAAAGAAAAAAATAAAAGCTCGAAAAGATTATGTGATTTTGGTTCCAAACTACAACAAACCATAATAAGTGGTTTCAAAATCATTTTAGAAACCGTGTAAAAGCGATTCAATTATGATGTCATCTTTTTTTTATAATTGAAACCCATAGTTTTAAAATTGAATTTTGAAAAATTGATCAAGCATAACCAGATTTTGCTCGAGTAAAACTTAACTCTAAAATAATCTAATCACAAAATCTCCCTTTCTCTTTGTTTCTCAGGATGTTGCAATTTAATTATTTACAAAAAATACTATGAGCTATAAAGTATTAAATAAAAAAGTGAAGCAATTTACAGGTGATAATTTTGAATATAAAATTATTTTTGAAAACTTAAAAATGTTATGACATAAATGCATTTAGACCAAAATTCCAAATGCAATGTAACGCCACTTAGATCAGCAATGGTGAAATTGAAGACTATCACGCATTCTTCTATGCATACATATTGCTTATTCAGATGGGATTTTGGAACTAAACAATGTGTTTACCATTCTTTACTAGGATAATAAAACTCAAACCCTGGCTTTTTTTTTTTTTAAAAAAAAAAATCACATTAGTAAATTACAATTTATTGTACCCATTCTGTATTTTTTAAAATTGAGCTTAGTATTTTAGATTTGGGCTTAAATTTTATTTAATTGGGGCCCAATTAATATTGTTTTGAGTAATTGATTGATTAATTAATTTTAATTAAATAATTAATTAATAAAATAAATAAATAATAGACCTATGGTTGGGAAAAAGGAGAGCAACTGTCAAACAGTTATTCACCTCGTAAAGAAAGTGGAAATCAAAGTAGTCAATGAGGATAAACCTGTGGAGCCTACAAAAAGAGTAAGAGACCGAACAAAAATGAAGAAAATTCTACGCTCTCCAACGAGTCAAGCAGTTTAATTTCAAAGCATCGTCTTTTATTTTTTTTTTTTCTAAACGTTGTAAATCTACATTAAATTATAAACACTCTTTTCAATACAAGCAAGCAATTTATTTACAAATTTCTCTGCTCAAATTTATTTTAAATTACACGGTGAAGTATTTACCGTGGATCCAAACCCACGGTCTAGAAGTCAGATCAAGCGTATTTTATTTTTTCAATTGGTGTATTTCATACACTTGGCACGCCCGCAATTTATTCACAAATCAAACTGTCAGTCAGCAAATTCGTTGCTTTTTCCACTAAAGCAACACAATTTAAACTAATAGAAATTGAATTAGAGGCTAGCATAAAATTTAATTTATTATATTTAATATTTTTTTTCTGAAAAAATATATGATATGGTAAAATTGAAAAATTCACTAAAAGCTGCGTAACTACTTTTAAAAAAAAAAAAAAAAATCATATATGAAAATGTTAATAAAATTGATTCCATATCAGATATATTATCTTTTAGGAAAAGAATAATAATAAAATATTTTGTCACCAGTCCACCCAGGCAATTCAATATTGTCATTTGCGATAAGATTAATTATAAATTTGGTGTCCTAACGTTGTCAAATTTTCTATTTTATTTCTGAAACTTAACAAGCTTTAAATGAATAATCAAGAAGCAAAATTGCCTCAAATCACATGGTGCATGATAAAACTACCCTGCGAACAAATACAAAGGCATAATCAATTCCTATAACAATTCACCAAGCAAAATCATTCGCCTTTTGGTTATATGATAGCTACTAGTCTAATTGAGGCATCAGAGAATCAAGACAACTTGATCTTTGGCAACTAAGACCAAAAAGATGTGCCTATTTGTGATGATTAAGTGCACATAGATTTTAGTCCTGGGATTTTGCAACACAAACCGAAATTGGTCCAAGCAACTAAGCTGCTTTTAGCTTCCCAAGTTTGTATTCGACAGTTTCTTCGGAACTGAGTATGCCTTTTGGAGACAATAGGCGTCGGAGAGCAAAGAAAAATCGAGCCTGGGAGAATTTGTGTGGTTTAAATTAAATTCCATTAACCAAAAAAAAGAAAAAATAAATTAGCCTTTGAAGGTTGAGGTTTGTTCTCACCCATTGGAATGCTACAAGCGCACACCAGCAGCCTTGCAGACCATACACCCCCTTGCTGCTTGCAAGCTGGTTATCGGAAAAGATGGAGATCGTTATTAATGCATGTATCGAGAATAATTAGCAATATGGAGGAAAGAAATAAGCCTAACCATTAACAGAAGAGCACCCAATGAAAAGCATCCACTCATTGATAAGCTGATGAACTTGAAATCGCGTCCAGCCTGTGCAATGAGTACAAGAGAAGCAACATAAGACCAAGTATGTTGATCAAGAACCCTCAGTGACAGTCTTGAAAATAGCAGAAGCAGAATTTTATGAGCCATTATATTAATATTGGTTGCAAACAAAAATTCACAGCTTTAATCTAAGGAGGGTGTATTATTGAGAAATCAAATATTTGCCTCTAGGAAAATAAATTTGTTGTCGAAGGCATTGAATATGACTCTTCACTTGAAAACAGAAAGTATAGAATCCAAGTTAAAGTGAGAAAAAATACCAGCAATGTCCCTTCGAGGCTGTGCGTACAGGGTGTTGCAGATAATGCGACAAAGAACAAAATTAACACTTTGTGCATCTGCATTGACACAAAAAATGAAATATCAAGCAACGTTAAATACATATGATTCATTATCATATATTTATGCAAAGATTATATATCCACGAGTATTTACTTGTCTACTGATTGGTTTTCCTCAACTTGGTTATAAAATATATAGAAAGTTGTTAACAAACTAACAATTTAAATTATGAAGAAGTAAAGTGCAAATATGTGTTTTGCAATTTCTGCAATTGTACCTTCCTAATTCCATTTCTGGAAACAATGAAAAGAAGAAAGAAAAACAACAGACTAATTCACCCTCTTAGGCCACAATTGAACAAAAGATAAGAAATCCAGAGTTAGACGTATTGCCTCTTACTTATGCAGAGCATATAATACATGAAAGTCAGTTTCCAGGGCAATTTTTCTGAAAACTTGCAAAATAAGCATATAATACGTGCAGTTTTTTCCTTAATGAAGATATGATAACAGACATTCAAATAGGAAATAAAGTAGTTGCAATAGCTTAAAAATGGAAGGCAACCTCTTGTATGACTTTAAGATCATGAGTGAAAATGTTGGGGAACAGCCAAGGAATAGATGCTCCAACACTTGCTATTATTGCTCCAAGTATAGCTCCAATAATCATTAGTGACTTGAGCAGCGTTCTAGCCTGTTTCATTGCTTATACCATGTAGATCAAACCAAAATCCAATGTTCATAATTGTAATATCATCAGTAGATGACATAATTATAATGAAAAAACAAAAGAAACAATTCTAGACAACTGATATTTTTTTCCAGAAAAGAAATGGGGGAATATATAACCAGAATGAGCAGTTACATTTTTTTTTTTTTTTTGTTTCTTCAGTTAATTAGGTTCCTACTGGGTCTCAACTCACCATTTCAGAGTCCAAGAGATGATGTGATGACTCACAGTAGTGATATCAATATGAATATAAATATTACTAACCTTGTCTAAACTTCTCTCGACTCCATACAGCAACTCAGGCATGAATGATTGTGCAGTTTGAGAGAGAGGCTCACCCCATACTACACACATGCCATACATTTGGATCATAACCTGGAAGAGTAATAAACTGTCAAGTAAATTTTATTAATTTCTTGCAGCTAGAAATTAAATGCAAGTACTAGCAAAAATAAAACCAACCTGATGAGCCGCAACTGTGAATGTGCCCATCGCTGTTGCAAAATATGTCATAAGAGAGTAGAAGGCCACCTAAAACATGAAAATGTCCAAAAAATAAAAGTTAGAACCAAATTTGAGAAGAGAACAGCTATAGAAAATTAAAATTAGAAAGAAAATTCAACCTTTGAGAACATTGTTACAAACACTGGAGCAGCTATGCTGAATATTTGCAAAAATTCTTTGGGGGATGGAATAGAGACAGCGAAAGCATTATATCCTTTCTTATTCAAAGCTTCAATCATCATATAGGCTGCAATGACCTGGATAAACGTAAGTATTAAGCGGAAAAGCAGGACAATTTCTGAACTGGAGTCAAAAAGAATGAAATGATCATATTATGCATACTTGTGATGTCATTGTTGCCCACGCTGCTCCTGTAATACCATAGCCAAGAAAACTGCATAGGACTAAATGACCAATGGCATTCACAGCACTGGCAACCACCAAAGCCTTCAAAGGTCCTACAGAATCTTTCATGCCGAGACTGAAAGTTGAAAAAAAATTGAAAAAAATCAAAATTCAAACTAAATAAGGCAGGGTGGTTCACATTTTAAAACTAACAGGAATCTAAATTCATTTGTACAAAGAAAACTTCAAAGAAACATGTGATTTATATCTCCACCTTGAGCTTTGAGAGACTAATCCATAAAGAACTGCTGGCCATGCTAAGCCTCGAATCTGCCAACAAATGAAGGTAACTAGTCAAATCCCACTATCAAGACGTAAGCAGAGGAAAAAGTTCCATCAGCCAAAATAATAGTAGTTGAACGCATTACAACAACTATCAGATTTGAACAACATTTCTATAATGTCATTTAATACTAAATAAAAATAATGATCAAAAGTAAGTGCGTTTTCATAACAGCATGTTGATGTTGCTGCAAAATATTTGTCGTCGTGTTATTAAAAACTTTGCATTACAGGGATCTTATGCATCAACTTATAGTACTAATAATTCTGGTCCACAGTAAGTTTTGTCTTTAGTTGTAGATAGAAATTAATATTATTCTTCTTCTTTTTTTTTTCATTGAGAGGGCATCAAGCTGAAAAAAACTGTACTTAAAAATTAAAGTTGAAGAAAATGTACCTGAACATATTTGCTAGCTACGGGTACAATATGCACATTCTTTGGGCCAGCAAAAGCTGAAAAATTGAAACGAAAAATTGTGTCATTCGATAGATATCACTTTTTCTGTTGCAATTATCAATACCTGTGAAATGGTGAAAAATAAGAGGAGTAATCAAGAGCTGCATTAGTCTTTATTACCAGTTAGTGCCCAGGGGCCAAGAAATTGTGTAAACAATAGCATTAAGATGCCACAAGCCAATCCAATAAAGAGCAAAATTGATATTTGGTGTTGTACTTCATTTTTATCCTGCATCAATACCATCCAGTTAAAAAGAATGCAGGATAGAAGATAGAACAGAAAAACGATAACTTATTCCATAAAATGATTATCCACCATGTATAAATATAAATTGCATGTATAAAAGAAAGTTAGAAAAGAAATCACATATATTTATAAAGAAAGAAGAAACTTAAACGAATCAATGACAATGAGGATAAAGAATAGAAATGGGTTTTCATAGCCTATCACCAGCGCACGGAGTACATTTTTTGTTGAGAACAAGCAGGATTTAATAGAGTCGAGGGAGGGAGCATTCCGGTCTGCATTCTTACACTATGAAGCAAGTACTTGACCATTGGGCTACTAGTCCAATGATAGTGACCATTGGGCTACTAGTCCAATGATAGTTCACAGAGAACACTGAAGTCATCTTTGGTTTGAGTAAATTTAACGAAAGGAAATTCTGCAACTACTTGAAATTTTTATAAAATTTTAACAATATTCAACTCACAATGGCTATGCCATTATCATTTCATCTAAAAATACCAAATTCAGCAACAAATTCTCTTTAAAATTAAATTTTAAATATCACAAGTGTCCAACAAACTAACCCGTTTGGCAAGTGAAGTGGCCACCATATTTGAAGTAGCAATTGATAGAAACATAAAAAGAAGATTCATATTATCACAAAACACAGTACCTGGACCTGTCCATCCAAAATCCCATTAAATCCGCAAAAGAATTGATAACAATTTATTCAAAAACAGGAAAAAAAAAAACCTGCAATTAATTAATTACCTAAAGCAGCAAGTTCCGTAGAACTTCCCCGACCGATCACAGCCGTAGATATAAGACTCATCAATGGCCCACATATCCACAACCCGGTAGCTGGACCCGAAAACATCATAATTTCCTTCATCTGCGTCCATATGCTCTGGTTTTCTAACTCACTTCTCTTCAACCTAACAGCTTCAACTTTATCGTCACCATTATTATCATTTTCACTTAAAATTTCAGGCTCTGTATTGAGAATTTCTTGATCGGAGCCAATGCATGGAGTTATAAACCGATTGATGTTGCGATTAGAACTTTGAAGTGAAAGAGAGGTGTGTAATGGAGTTGAAGGTGGCAAAGACAGAGGAGGCGACGGAGGTGATTTACTGAAGAGAACTGAAGGTCGAGAAATATTTTTGAGGTTTGGATTTTTTAAAAGAGGAGTGTGGAAAGAGAGAGACATTGTTTTGATTTGCATTTTCTTCTGAAATTGCAGAAGAAAACCAGAGACAGATAAAAATATGAAAGAAGAAGAAGAAGAAGAAGGTAACAGTTTGTGTACGTTAGAATTAAATGTTCTTTAAAGAGCGAGTTGGCGGCTAGAGCTTGATTGGCTTCTCTCCTGTTATATTCACATCTCCTTGAGCGAGTCCTAACCATCGCATCTCTCTTATTTAGTGTATGGAACCGGAGAGAAGCCATAGCCAAAATTCAGCGGGTCGGCTCAGTAGCCGCCAATTATTCTCATTACGAGTACAAGCTACTTCCCTTTCTCTTTCCGATGCTACCTAACTGCAAAAAGCTTTCGAAATAGCAGATCACAACGGCAATTCCAAGTCAAAACGACAGCCAATTTGTTAAATAAATTGTCTAATCCACGGTTGTCGCTCTAAAGAAAGTTGGAATGTAGGATTACAACTAAGTATCAAGGAGGCTATAGTTTTATGTTCTGTTGTGTATTAATTTGACTAAACAATCAGCTAGCTTATGTATGACGAGTTTGATTTATGATAAAATTAAAATTTGATACTTAAATTTAGATTGTCAATATTAATAATTCAGAATAAGCAATTCACACAACTAATTTGAAATTAGGATTATTTCATTGTCGACTGTAATTAATCTCTTACTCCTTTTGTGTTTTTCCAAATTTTGTGTTTCAAATCATTCTTCATCTTCATTAACGTTTACAATCTGTTTGCTTTTTACCGTGAATATTAATTTTCTTTTACCAAAATTATTTCTAAAAAATAAATTTTAAATTTTTATATTTATATTTCTTATTTTTATTAATTATGTACATATCATGATGTATGTATATTATACTCTTTATTAGTGACTTGTCAGTTTTATTAATAAAATAATTTTATTTATCAATTGAATTTCAAATGAGTTGAACTTACTTTTATTATAAAATAATCAAAATAATTTTTTGATTTGGTGTTACTTCTCATTACAAATCTTTTTTTTTTTTTTTTTTTTTCTTTTTTTTTTTTTTTTTTTTTAATATTCACGACAGGCCGCAAATTTTTTTTTTTTTTTTTTTTAATATTCACGACAGGCCGCAAATGTAATGATCTCCTTCATCATCTACCTTTCTCTGTGTACACCTACTTCTTGAAAGTAAGGCTAGGGATTCTAATGGAAAGATTCAGATCTCATTTCATCTTCTTCTCTCTGAACTTGTGACACCAACTTTCTCCTTTAAAAGAAGAACTGTGCTTTTTTAAAATCGAGGATTATATCCACATTTAATTAAAGTTTTACTCCTCCGTTCAAAAAAGATAGTTCATCTTTTTTTTTTTAGTTTGTTCCAAAATATAATTTATTTTTCTTTTTTTACATTATAGTTAATTCTTAAATTGTTTACTATACCTTTATTATATTTTATCTTATTTTTAATAACTCTCATTTATTCTTATTTGTTATTCCAATATAATAATTGTTGATGTGTTATTTAAAATGCGTATAATAGGAAAGTTATATGAATAAAATCGTCTTTTAACCATAATAATTGCTACTTTCTTAATATGTGTGAAAATAATCAGTGAACAATCTTTTTAGGACGGAGTGAATATGTTTTATTGTGTAATTTCTTAATTATACTTGAGATTTGGATTTATGCTTAATAATATCGCACTTTAAAATTTCTGAAATTTTAATGAATTTAATATTTCATGTTAAGAAATTAATTTATAAAAAAATTATACATTTGGTGTCCAAAATTTCTAAACTTTATATTTTTTCGATCATTTTATAATTTTTTCAACAATAAAAATATTATCAATTTAAGTGTTTGTTTTTTTTTTTGTTGATATGACAAAAATAGTTAGTTGGTTAAGTTTCACGCGAATAAAATGTGTTTTAACTCAAGGAAAAAATATTTTTGGGACAATATTGTTTTTGAGCATGTATTTGTCTTTCTTTTCTATTTTGGTTTTTAAATGAAAAATTGTGACAAATCGTGATAATTGAGTGTCTATACTTACATTTTTTATTAATTTGATGTCTCCTGATGACATGAACAATCGAAATATCTAATGAAAGTAAGTAAAACTCGCGTATGCATATGTCTCCTTGCTTGGTATGCATGTGTCTCCTTACTTGGTATGCCTATGTGTTAACTTTTTTGGCCTGACATTTAATCCAAGTACGTTGTACAATGCGACAATCATGTTCAAATTATCCATTTGTAATTTTGATATAAGAGATAAAATGTTGTACAATGTGGCAATCATGTTGAAATTATCCATTTGTGATTTTGATATAAGAGATAAAATTAAAGAGTAAAGAGGGATCTGATCAAGAAACAAAACAAAGAAATGAGATCGGTGTGTAAAGGCGACACAACAGATGCATGGGGCACAAGATTAAGGGAGATTAAAAGAGATGGATCGCCGACGAAGGTGATTGGATCTAATTTTGGCACTAAAAAACAAGCTTCTCCGTCTTGATCACCGTCTCATCCGATGGCTCTTCCATTGACTTTTTAGCAAAGGATTCCGAATCAGTTTTCAGTTCCCGTTTCTATTTTAGTGATGTCGATGCCACAGTAGAGGCCATTGGATGATGAGTATTTTATGAGAAACTACTCAGTGATGGTTGGGGCTGCTGTAGTGGCGGCGGAGTTAGAGAGTGAAAAAGAGAAAGAAGAGGAGAGAACAAAGGGAAAGTGAGGATGAGGAAGAAAAGGGGATAAAGAGATTCGCTAAAGCAATAGATAAATTCATCAAGGTGTATAAGAGGGTGGACAGCGAGAAGTTGAGGCAGATGTTGGATTTGGAGAAGAAGAGGATAAAATTTGCCAATCGTAAGTTGTCCACTGGGATTAAATGGGTAATTTCAGCATGATTGCCATGTGAGAGCTCACCGCTCGTGGCAAAAGAGGAGAGAACTTTTAGTCTTAGGTAGGGGTGGCTACGGTTCCGGAACCGGCATTCTGATTCCAAATTTTTTAGAACCGGAACCGAACCGAAAATTTTCGGTTTTGGTTCCGGTTCTGGTTCCTTAACGGTTTCAAAACCGACGGTTCCGATCGGTTTTTCGGCGAATCGCATAATTTTAAATTTTAAAATTTGAAGACCGGTTTTCAAAATTTAAATTTGAAGACCCGGTTTTCAAAATTTTAAAAAATTTGTGAAAGTTATTTCTAAAAAAAAAAAAACAAACACCTAAAAAAATTCTAAAAATGCTTCAATTAAATTTAATTTTTTTAAAAAGACTTGAACTTTAATTATTTTTTAAAAAAAGTCTTCAAACTGAATTATTTTAAAAGACTTGAACTTAATTATTTTTTTAAAAAAAGTCTTCAACTGAATTTATTTTTTATTTAAAAAAGTTTGAACATAATTTTAAAAAAAAAAAGAGGCTTGAACTTAATTTGTAACAAATCCAAAAAATTATTTTTTCAAAAATACCCTTAAAACTAGCCGTTATATAGCCGTTGATGGTTGCTGGGAGGGGTAATTAAGAAATTTTACAACAAAATTAAAAAAATAAAAACTGACAGTTTCTAATGGCTAGAACCGGCGGTTCGAACCGAACGGAGAACAGGCGGTTCCTTCCGGTTCCGATCGGTTTGTGGAACCGCTGGTTCGCGGTTCCAATAATACTAGAACCGAAAATCTCCGATTCGGACCGATTTCGGTTCCCACCGGTTCCGGTTCAGATCCAGTTCGAACCACCAGTTCTGGTTCTGGGAACCGTAATATGGTCACCTCTAGTCTTAGGTTTTGGTATGTATTTTATTATGTTATTTTCTAAAGATTTTTAAATTTTTATTTATATATATCTATATTGTTATGTCGGTATTAGATATATCTATAAAAAGGTTTTTCCTTTTTAAATTTATTTATAATTAATGCATATATATATAGAGATAAAAATCGATATCTATATAAAAATTATACGTATATATATATATATATATATATTTCGTGGCAGATCTCTATCATCCTCTGTATATATTCAGTTGGTTGGCAACAATGAAATCAACTTTGCTATGAAATATATGATATAAATATATCCTTTATTTTGTAAATTGTTATCGATTTTTATGAGAGGACCATCCATATATTTATATTGTATAATTTTATAAGTAAACTTTTTTTTTTTTTTTGACAAATCCAAATGGTTATAATATATATCTTGATTCGTTGAAACTCTCAATAAATAAAGAACTATATAACAAGACCACATCATTATCTTCAACCGGTGCAACAGAAATATGTCACACCCACATGATTTTGGGAGATCGGTGAAGCTTTGGACTGGCCCGGAAAAGAAATCCTCCTGCCCACAAAGAGAGCTAGATTGAAGCACAGAACCACAAATTCAAATATTACTCTCTGCAATTCAAAGGAGATTACATGTTGTCAGCTTGGAGAAAATTTCCGTTCGTGATTGATCTTAAGCCAGTAATCCAGTTCCAGTTCCGTATTATTTTCTCAAAGTAAGTAAGTTCTTGTACCAGTCAGGATGGAATTATTGAGCTCTAAATATAAAATTATATATGTTGTTAAATTTTAAATTATTGACTATTCAAATGGACCTTGAAATATTTCAAATTTATTGTATAAATTATTTTCATAATATTCTTTAAAAAAGATACTATTAGTCAGTTTCCCCACACTCCTCACCTGCTAATCTATGACTATTGATTAACTTTTCATAATTGCACTCTACAATTTTTTTTTTTATTAGCAATAAAATGACATTAGCAATAGGAATAATGTCTACACTAGAACTAAAATCCAAATGAGATTTTGATGTTCAAACATAAATGTCCTATATCTTTGCTAATAAAGAAAAAATTATCTAAAACGAAGCACATGCTTATGAGATGATATAAAATCCTTGGATCCATCAGCTCATTACCATAAGTTTTAGTTTGTTGCAGGAAAACAAAAATGGAGAAGCTGAAAGAGATTTTGAAACAGGCAGAGGAGTTTTGGGCGATTTTGAAGATGAAAATGGCAGCAAGACGTGCATTGAGGTGTATTCCACAAAAGCCTGAGTGGGTTTTCAGTTACTCCATGCTTGACAAGTTTGCTCGTGTATTAGCAATTGCTATTTCCCAACATGTTGACCCAGAGTTTCGTAATGCGGTAAGTTATTTTACAGTACAACTTTTAATATATGACCTTTAAAAAGTAAACGGTTAGGTATATCTTAATTAGATTGGAAATAGGAGCATTAAATTCTAGAGGGGAGATTTATATATATATATATATAAATACTTCTATACATTGTTTTTTATTAATTGAATTATAGCACCGCTCCTCTATTTATATGTTTTTTAATGAAGTGAGAGATTTCTGGTACATTCCAATTGTATATCTCTGTTTGCAAGAGGTGGTTGGTTCACTGAGCGTGTATTTTCGAGCCTATAGGATTTGAAATTGAAGTTGAAATTGGTTCTATTGATTTCAAGCTAGTTAGTCGTAATTCAAGTTTGGTTCTAACAAATTTCGATATAGTTTCTTTTTCATTAGAATTGATTGGAAAAATAGTTTTATAGGTTTTTTTTTTTTTTTTTTCGAATATAGTTTCTTTTTCCATAGAATTGCCTTGGGAAAAAGTAGTTTTATAGGTTTTTTTTTTTTTTTTGTAAGGTAAGAAAAATGTTTATAGTTGGTTCCTCATCTCAAAGGTTTTTTTTTTTTTTTTTGTAAGGTAGAAAAATAGGTTTATAGTTGGTTCTCATCTCAAAAATAAATTTATAAGAACTAAAATTGAATCGTAAGAGAACCCGTGATTAAAGTCCAATTGGCAAAATTGAAATTAATAAGCCAATTTCAATTTGATCTTTTTCAAACAAATTTTAATCTGAGTCGATCTATAAATCCATCCCATGATCAAACCAATCAAAAAATATATATTTATTTAAAAATTATTAAATCTTTATTATTTTTTCCAATAAGTAGTAGCTAAAAAATTGATTAAACGTTATATATTTGATCTCAATTAAAAAAGAATGATGCTTCTAATAAAAATATATGAATAAATTTACTTAAATTTTTCACAAATTATTTGCAATTATAATTTGAATGCATATATATAAAACTTTATGACAGACTCCAAATGACAGTTTTTTTTTTTTTTTTTTACAAAAAATCAAATTAGAAATTTCATTAATTGAAAACTGTATACAAATATGAGACACAGATTAATATATTTCTATATTTTTGTATAGGAAGTCTAATAATGAACCGCTTATATAAAAAAATAAAAAACACAAGTTTAATTTGAAGTATCTGATCGAGTTGATACAACATAATATTTGTGTCAAAAGCGATCGCTTGCTCCACTTTGTGACTGTTTAAGGCCACTATTTGATTCCATGGTCTTTCTATAAGTCCGATCTGATTATTTTCAAATTTCTTCTTTTTATTGGAAATGAGATCTGCACTTCTTTTTGCATAACTATTCAAATAATAAAAACGCTAGGCAAAATCACCGTAATGATGATAACAATAACTTAAAACTAAATCTGAGAATAAAATCCCAAAATATGGGCAACAACAAATCTCAATATTTGGACAACAATAACTCAGATTTGAAAATATGTCTAAAAATTATTTGCAAACAAAAAGAGAAAAGCTCATCGATGGCCGCCCGTGGAGAAAGAAAAAAGAGTTTTTATATTTTAGATTTTAAAAGAAAAAGACTTCAAATGAAACTAAATAAAACACTTCTTACAACACTAATAAGAAAAAAAAGTATACAATAAATTAAACGAATTTAAATTAAAAAATATTTAGGAATATGGTCAACAATTGAACCCACTATAAATTAAAAATTAATGAATGTGAAGTTGGAATGAGCCTGAAAGTTGAGTAGTGCTTCTCTTCGTAGCAGAATTGACCATGTCCTCTTAGTCGTAGCTAAAGAGAATCAATCATTTTTATTTGGCTGAACACATAATTTTGGTACTTTACTTTATGGCACCCTTTATTATTTATTTATTTATTTATTTATTAAACATTTCAATTTATAAAATTATATCTAATTAAATACTTTAACCTACAAAATCATTTTATTGAACATTTTAACTTTAAAATTTTTGCATATAAAAGTCTAAAATTTTAAAAATTATTGCTACTAGTATGAAAATTTATGGAGGTTATCAAAATTTACAAATTGAAATGTACATTAGGTCATTTATAAAATTTTAAAATGTTATAAATTTCGGAGATAAATTTATGTATTTTGCATTTTTAATTCAAAGTTTGAATTGGTTTTCAAGTCCACACTTAACTTGGCCAAACAAAGCACTTCAACAGTTGGTCAACTTAATATTATTATATATAGTTATTGTTTGTAATTAACCTTGTAGTCAAGATTAATATAATTGTTATCTTGTAGATGTTGACAAAACGATGCGTAGATGCATAATTCTCAATGAAAATGATGTATCACATGTTTGTAAATAATAAAATTGTCTCCATAAAAATTGGTTGAATTTCAATTCTAAATTTAGTTCCAATTCCACAATTCAAAAGACTCCAATTATAATCGCATATCAATGAAATTAAAAAGTTTATATATGATTTATTTATTAAATGTGTCAAATTTATTTATTTATTAAGCGAGGTTAAAAATTAAATTTAAACTTAGTTCGTCTAAAAAAGCAATTCAAATTACGTCAAACTTTTATTGACGGAACTTTCAACTGTTGTCAATGGTTTGATTCATATAATGATATTACTTGTGATTATTTATGCTTGATACTAGGTATTATAATGATCCTGCTGTTAATTACTATAATAATTATTTATATATTGTTAATTAATGAAGTAACTAAAATTGGTTGTTTTCAAAAAAAAAAATTGGTTATTTAATTAAATAGTTATTATAAAAATAAAAGGAATATGGATATATGTCATTTTCAATTCAAAACTTTGTAGTTTTGTTTGAAAAATAAAATTTCAGGAGTCTAGTAAACGAGTAGAAGCACAAGGCCCATCAATTTATTGCGTAACTAATAGCTGATAAAGAACAATGACGTGGTTAAATTTCATATCACCAGCACATCTTTAGCTTAATAAAATTACATTTTTGTCATTCTTTACTTATACCCTTCCTTCTTTCCTATAGCTATCAAACAGTCTTTTCTCTTTAGCAACTCAATCATCTAACTCTCCGGCAAAAGCGAGCGTGTGCCCAAACATCTTCTCCTTTCTTGAAAAGCTAATCCCACATGACTATTTCCACAATTCTTGAATACCCTTATAGTAAGGGGGAGTTTCCCAAAATACCCTATACACAGATTTTCTTTTTTTTTCTTTATATATATTTTTGTTACGAGATTTAACAGGCTGCAAGAATATTGAGTTACAAAACACATGTAGCTTTATCCTGAACAGACCAAATTAATGAAATTTTTTATATTCGAGATAATTCAAGCTTGGCATTTCTCGTTTTTTACATTCTTACAGTAAATAAAAAGACTAACTAAATCAAATTTAATTGGCCTACTTATACTTTATAGTCATATGCATATAAAACACTTAATTGATAAAATTAATATTATTAATATATTTAATCACAAAAAATAAAACATTTCGGCAAAAAATTTTATTTTTAAAGTTTTGACGATTAATTTATAATTATCTTTTTCAGTAATTATAATAACAGTTAAATCTTAATCCCAAACTTGTTGATATTAACTATATTAATCCCAAACAGTTAAAATTTTCTTTGAAGTATATTATTGGAAAAAGACTTTATTTCGTAAAAATGAATAAAAAAATGAAAAACGAAATTTTTGCTTGGCTCACGCCACCTTAAATAAGTATTAAGCAATGCATTGTTACCGAACTAAACCCGTGAAGAGGGCAACAAATTCTAGTCAAAAAAATTTTTTTTTTTGGGTCATTTACTTAAAATTAAAAAAAAAAAGCCTCTTGTTAGTATTTTCTCTTCAATGAATTACCTGAAAAAAGAAAAAAGATAGTGATTATTTTATAGTTAAATTATATTTTTTCTTAATTTTTATTTATATAGATATTCTTTTTGTATAGAAACAATTGTGGCATCCTTTCAATTCATTGGAAACTTTCAATTATTAATTTAAAAAAAAATATAATTTTTTTCAGTAGATGAACCTATCATATATTATCTGTAGATATTTAAAATATTGAATTTTGAAGCATCTAGAAATCTTGTATTATTTTATTGTTTTATATTTGTGAAAATGTAAAATAATATGCTTTAATAATTCAATGTGAAGCGGGTTTCAAATAGACAAACTATTATAATATCAAAATTTTCTACGTTGAGAATCGAAAACCAATAACGGATTCAAGCAGCTTCATTTTCTTATATACATATTTAATTTTAATTAAAAATTATTAAAATATTTGATTTAAAAATTTAAAATCAAATCGAACGGATTAAATTAATCCAACCAAGTAAACGCTAAAGGAAAGTATCAAAGGATGTGTTTCCATCCAAATTTAAGAATTTTATTATATTTAAATATTTTTTTGTTTGGTTTGAACTCATAGACACAAGTATCTTTTTAAATGATAAATTACTATTTAATCCTTAAAATTATTTTAATTACCATATAATCTTTATATTTTAATTAAATGACTACATTATTTTTAATTTTTGGATCTTGTATGCTAAACAATTTAGTCATTCTATTTAAACAATGGTAATTTTACTATTAAACTTTGTAATATTTGACTAATTGATCCTTTGTAATATTCATTTTATCATATTTAATATAAAGTTACTATTTAATCTCTTATTTAACTATAAATTAAAACTAAATACTTTAATGAATTCAAAAGTTAAGGATGATTTAATAATTTTATCAAAAATACAAGACTAAATAGTAAATTACAGTTCAATCTATTAACTTAGGGATTAAATAGTAATTTATCTTTCTAAACTAGTACTAAATCGGCAGAAAATCAAAGTTGAATTGCCGATTCGATTCAAAAATTAAATTTGGATCTAATTGAATATCTCAAAATAGTTTGAGGAGCAAATTGAGTGTTTATATTTGTATGTATACCAAAATAAAATTCAAAATCAATAAATATACATACTAAATTACGTTAATATTCCACGCCATAACTTCCTTGCGAAATTCACTTCACGCCGAACTTAAAGAGTCCCTTTCAAGGGGCTAAAGCCTACAGGCTACAATATATCCTTCCTACTGGAATTTTTTGACATATTGTTAGCGAATCAGGACTTAAATGCCAGCTATTTTCCCAACCTATTCTGCATTGGATATTTTTCAGACGCATTCGTACAAACTCATCCGTCATCTCCATCTCTGTCTTCTGCAAAAACCATTACCCAAATTTGCATATAAACTCAAATTTTGGGTTGAAAATCAAAGGATCTGACAATAATGGGGAGTTTAGGTGCGATTTTGAAACATCCAGATGACTTATACCCACTTTTGAAGCTCAAAATGGCTGCAAGGCATGCAGAGAAGCAGATCCCACCCGAACCTCATTGGGGTTTCTGTTACTCTATGCTTCATAAGGTTTCTCGTAGCTTTGCTCTTGTTATTCAACAGCTTGGCACTGAACTTCGAGATGCTGTGAGTTTTGTTTTCTATGTCTATCTATAAATGTGTTTTGTTTCTTTTGTTTTTACTTCTGCTCGTTATTGGGAATTTGATTTATGGATTTTTTTTTTTTAAAAGTTGCTTCGAGAAATTCAGGGACTGGGGATGTGAACTTGTTTTCATCGTGAAAGTACTCTAATTGTTTTAGTCTTCTTAACAGTATTCCTTGTGAGCATTGAAGATTTTGGGTGTTAAGAAGTTTAATGGGCATTGATGTATACACATACAGAGACAGGGAAAAGCGAATATGAGATTGGAGTTATAATTGTACTTCTCATTCTTGTGAGTTGTTGGTGGGATATAATTGCTGTTAATAGAGATTGGAGTAGCGACATAAACTGCTCTTTCACCGTCTGTATTACAAAATAATGTGTTTCATCTATTTAATTGCATAATAACTACAGTATACTACTACTTTTCCCATCTCTTTCTCTCTCTGACGCACATCCGTCATTTTGATATTGTTCTCATCATCTGTTGTGAGAAATGATTAGAGAATAACGTGTTTCATCTATCTAATTGGTAAATAATTTCTAATTTCCAGTTGCTTTTTGCGTTTTGCAGGTATGCATATTTTATTTGGTTCTTCGAGCCCTTGACACAGTTGGTTTGTTCTCTGACTTTAACCTTATTATTCCTGTAGTTCTATATGATTTTTATTACTGTATATCTGATATACTGAATTTGGCTTCCTGATGTTAATTGATGTATTTGTTTTGTCTTATTTGCACATTCAATGTGCCATTTTCTGAAATGTGGCTCTATCACATTCTGAATTTTTTAGTTGTGAGCTCCAGAATTGGGTTTGTTTTACGAACTACTCATGAGAAATTTAAGCTGGAAGCAAGTATTTATCAGCTTTGTTTGGGTTTGAAACTTGTATTCATGAGTTCACCTTTTTTTCTCTTTGCACTTTCACTTGACATTTGTGTCAATCATGGAGGTATGAGAAATAGGAACTTTGATTATCATTCAAATGTTTGTTAACAATAATCCTGGGCTATGTAAGTCTCTTGTTGCATTTGAGATGATGTTATGATTGCAAATATACATTTAAAAAGACAGATCTTATGATTGCAAATATACATACTATTTTACACCAAACCTCATGTGCTGTTGCATTTATTTTGCCTTTGGGGAGGGAAGTTGAGATTGTTGGTCCTATTTAAAAAAATTGACAGAAGAAAGGAGGAAATTTGAGAGGCAGAGTATGGGTCCAGTACATTGGCCAGGGCAGGTGGTAATGAAAGATTACCTGAAGAGGCTCTATTCTAAGAAATATCTCCCATGTGTTGTTGATGCTTGTCTAAGCTGATGCATTTTTTCTTGTTTGATTTTTCATAATGATTTTTTTTTTCAGAGGATGATACAAGCATACCTACAGATGTCAAAGTGCCTATCCTGATAGCTTTTCACCGTCACATATATGATCAAGACTGGCATTTTTCATGTGAGTATTAAAATCTTGCTTAGGATTTTCCTAGATTCTGCAAAATTGGAGAAAACAAGATCTGGCTCATTCATTTGCCAAAATTGGTTTGACAGTTTCGCTTAACTGAACTTGTAGCTACATGTTTTCTTAAGCAGTTGTTTCATGAGATTTATAAGACATCTCTATATACCAATTCAATCATGGTTAATGTAAATCTTTTGTTCGATCATCCTTTGTCCTATCAGTGCATGCTACTTGTTTATTTACTCATGTGATAGTTCAGGTTTCAGTTTCCCTTGAAAATTACCTGTTCTCACTAGAATTATCATTAGAATTGACGTTTCACATCTCGTGGGCAAAAGCTTGAGCATTCTGTGTAAAAATGTTTTATTTTTTATATTCTTTTTCTATTTTTACTTTCATGACAAGTTAGTCTTAGAAGATCACCATGTTCAATTATCTCTTAAATAGTGCTTCAAAAGTTTTTGTCAAAGAGTCCATGGTTATATGGTATTTTTATTTCATATTTCAATAGATATTTTTGCTCACTCTAATGTGATTCTTTTTTTCATGTAAGGTGGTGCTAAGGACTATAAAGTTCTCATGGATCAGTTTCACCATGTTTCAACAGCTTTTCTAGAGCTTGGGAAAAGGTCCCTTCTTACTCTATTCCTCCTGGTGTGCCTTATTGAAGGGACCTTTAATAGATTTGGAGATATTTCTAGCTGTGCTTATACTTCTTTTATTATTTCTAGCACTGATATAATTGATAGCTATATTTTTACTATATTCCTTGCATTTTCAAATATTGATATTAGTTTCTGTGTAAGACTTATCCTAAGCTTTATGGCTTCTTCTTAATGACTTGACTTCCTAGAACTTCTCAGGTAGTTTAATGATAGCTTGCTTAATGGAGATTGCTCGAAAATATGCTTCAACCAATTTGTGGTTGGGATTATGCTCTAGCGAGTTACAAAGGGCTTAATATAGTTAAGTCTAGTCTTGGTTATTGAGGATTTTAGGTAGATAAGTTTTATTGAAAAATATTTTTAAGTAAACTACATCATATTTAAGCTTAAGAGGAATATTTATAATTGGTATGGAGTTATGTAATCTGTATGATGTACTTTATGGTTTAACAACTCAATGCATCTAACTTGTGTGAATATGCCATTAAATTTTTTGATGTCCTTTCTTTTCACTCCATAAATGACTTGTGAAATTCAATTTATTCTGCAGTTATCAGGAGGCAATTGAGGATATTACGAAAAGAATGGGTGCAGGAATGGCTAAATTCATATGCAAGGAGGTTGGTGCAATGAGTTATTATAAGTGGGAGTACAGCATAAATAGATAACTAACTCAAATAAACTTAATTGCGGGGGTCATTATTAGTTTTCATGATATAAACTACAAAAGTATGTGCATACAAACAGCTGGAAAGTCATGGATCTGTAGTGATATCAGAACTAAAATGAAAATAGGCATATAATCCTGGGTTGTCGTGAAATCAAGAAATTGAATTATTGGAATTAGACACCTGGTTCTGAAGAAGTTGAGGCTTGTTAAGTCTTAGAGAAATTGCATGAGCTTCTGAATTTGAATTATGCCTTCACTTCTTCGTGGTGCTGATGGACCTAATTGAATTTCTTATCTTGCAGGTGGAAACAATTGATGACTACGATGAATATTGCCATTATGTAGCAGGACTTGTTGGACTAGGCCTGTCCAAGCTTTTCCATGCCTCTGAATTGGAAGATTTGGCACCAGATGTCCTTTCCAACTCAATGGGTTTATTTCTTCAGGTATCACTATGATGCATGAAGTAACCATATGCTTCACATGCAATCTCTCAGCTTTGTCTTGAAATTTAATTCTAATACCATAAGTTCTGCATTTGATAAAACACAGAAAACAAACATTATTCGAGATTATCTGGAGGACATAAATGAGATACCCAAGTCACGCATGTTTTGGCCTCGCCAGATCTGGAGTAAATATGTTGACAAACTTGAGGTTTGTTTATTTTCCATTTCTTGTCTTAATGTTTCTAATACTTCTCTGGAGGTCGTTTTAAAATTTGCACCTTATTGTTATTTTGGTTTATCTGATTGACCTTTTCTCCTCCATTTCATGGTTTGCTCCTCAGGACTTGAAATATGAAGAGAACTCGCTCAAGGCAGTGCGATGCTTGAATGATATGGTGACAAATGCTCTGATGCATGTGGATGACTGCTTGAAGTACATGTCTGCATTGCGTGATCCTGCTATATTTCGATTTTGTGTCATCCCGCAGGTGTGCATATTATGACTAATGATTTTCAAAATTGTTGATCTCATGTTTTTTAATCAGCTTTTGTATCTTGCTAAATTGTTTAATTGTTTTAATATGATGCTGTAAAGGAAAAAGATGAACTTGACATTGGATCCTGTCAAGTCCTAAGATAGCAACTTTCCAAAATTGTGCATGTTTAGAAAGGTGTATAGACACTAATTTTTTCTCACAACTTCACCCTCTATCATCCTTGGAAGGGGCATGCAAACTTCCACTGAACTGAACCAGTTTGGTTTGATCTGGTTCATATATAAGTATGGTCGTTTGATTTGGTCCGGTTCATACACAAAGTATGGGTCAGCTTTCATAAACTGACATTTTCTTCACTTCAGTTCGGTTTTCATGAAGCTCAAAAAATAAGCCCAGAACTGTAAAATAGGTAAAAGCTGATGAAACCTGTCTGATTCAGTTTGGTTTTCATTTCAGATTTGGTTTGTTCAGTTTGCTCAATTTCCATTCTGAACTGAATTGACCATTTGCATGCCCCTATTCCTTGGTTTACCTTTACCTCTTGTTTTCTTTTCTGCTGCAACTTCAATGTGCTCAACTTTCAGTTCCAATATCTACAATGCGCATGCCTAAAACCTTATGAATCTTCCTTCTCTCAACTTTTATTCAACAGGTGCCACTTCCACCTTCTTAGGGATGCCCTATTACATAGTAAAATCATTTGATGTGCCAGTTCTATAGTTGTTCCTCTAATGATTATGATGGATGTTCCTGTTGAAGCATAATTCTCATTTAACATGTCTATTGTTAGATCATGGCAATTGGAACACTAGCATTGTGCTACAACAACATCGAAGTATTCAGAGGTGTTGTCAAGATGAGGCGTGGTAAGTTTAATGTATTGGCTACTGTTTGCTTTTCTTAGTTGTGGAAATTGGAGACATGTTCTAGACTATCCTTCTTTAAGAGTTTCGAGTAGGAAAGACTGGGACGTGAAAGTTCTCAACTGACTAACACTTAATAACATGTTTCTAGGTCTAACTGCTAAGGTCATTTATCAAACAAAAAGTATGGCCGATGTATATGGTGCTTTCTTTGATTTCTCCTGTATGCTCAAGTCCAAGGTATGGCACTTCTGTTAAATTTGCTCGGCAAGTTAGTGTAAAGAGTTATTTTTATTTAACTTGTAATCTCAAATGCTCTATCCTGTACCACTTCACTTTCTTTTAATTTTTTCTGCAATCTTTGTTTTGTGTCTTTGAATCTCTGAAGATTTCCGCATAATTTATGCAAATAGACTTTCTAGACAATTATTTCACAGAATGTTGCAGTATCACCAATGTTTCCACTCATGGGATGGAAGTTTCAGATCTCTAAACAATTAGAATATTTTCCTGCTGAAAATGAAGAAATCTCTTAAGAATCATCTCCGTTGTTAGATCAAGTCAATGATGGTGGACTTTCATTCTAATTTCCCCATGGTTAACATGCATGGCAATCTATATTTGTTATAGCCTTTAACAACTGTAGTGGTCTATGTATTCCAAAGCCTACTGAAAGTTTACTTGCAAATGCAACAAAATTGTCTTTTATGCTGCCAGATGATATTTGGTGTAGGGTTTTTTTTTTTTTTTTTTTTTTTTTTTTTTTTTTTTTTTTTTTTTTCTTCAAGATATCAATTCTCCGCTTGTTCAGATTCAAGTTCAATGATGGTGGACTTTTCATTCTAATTTCCCCATTCGGTTAAACATTGTCATGGCCAATCTATATTTGTCTATACGCCTTTAACAAACTGTAGTGGTCTATGTCAATTCCAAAGCCTACTGAAAGTTTTACTTGCAAATGCAACCAATAATTGTCTTTTTTGCTTTGCCAGGTGCCATATTTGGTGGTGTAGGGTTTTTTTTTTTTTTTTTTTTTTTTTTTTTTTTTTTTTTTTAAAATCTTATCTGGATGATCCATGTGCCTTATTGAAACTAATTGAAATTGGCTATTCCCACACGGTCGACCATGGCAGTTTGATCCAAAATGCAGACAAAAGACTTTTTTTTTTTTTTTTTTTTTTTTTTTTTTTTTTTTTTTTTTTTTTAAAATCTTATCTGGATGATCCATGTGCTTATTGAAACTATGAAATTGGCTACCACAGGTCGACATGAGTGATCCAAATGCAGAAAAGACATTAAGCAGGCTGGAAGGGATACAAAAAGCATGCCAGGAGTCTGGGCTTCTAAACAAAAGGTTAGTCAAGTTGTCCTGTGAACATTGGATCTGGTTTTCTTTTTCTTTTGTTTGGCTGACATTTTTCTGATTCTTTTTTGGGGCTTTGTTCTACTAGGAAATCATACATTAATAGGAGTAAGCCAAGATACAATTCTGCACTGGTGAGTTCCTGCCAAAATATCAGCCTCCATTCTTTTGGCCCTAATTTTTTTTTTTTTTTTTGAATTGAATGGAATTCCCTCCTTTTCATTTCTCTTGAATCCCACCACCCATTTTCAACTTTATCCATTCATCAACTGTTGGATATGTGCAATAGGACTTGTTTTAAATAATATACACTGACTCCTATTTCATAATCTCAATGCAGATTGTCCTACTTTTTGTAATACTGTCCATCGTTTTCTCTTATCTTTCTGCAAATCGACCAAGTATCTAGAGTAAGTTTTGTTAAAAAATTGGTTGGTGTTGTAAGCATCATTATGCAATTGACTTTACGGGAGACCTTGAATCATTTCTGCAGGATTGTGACTCTGTTCAACTTTGTTCATGACTTGCTCCATCGAACTTCGTCTTTTACAATGTTTGCACAGAATATTGTAATGCCAGAAGTCTGTTCCCTGATATTTAAACAAAAAGGCCTATAAGTAAAGTTTGCACCCCCTTAACCCTGAAATCCCATTTAGTTAATTTATTGCTTGATTGTTGTTACTCTACTCTTAATTGTGGTGGTGGAGCAATAATATTAAGATTGTAAAGTGCAACGAAACGTCTCCCTTTTTGTGGGCGCATGTGTCAACTGTGCCCTATTTTGCTACTGAAATACTATTATGCAAATTGAGGTCTTCTTTCCTATAAAACCTCTTATGGTGGTATTGGTAGCAAGAAATTTAAAAATTCTTAAAATTTGCATGAAATTCTCCTGAAATCTAATAAGTTTGACATAATTAAAATTAAATCAATATTAATTGGCGTTTACTACTAATGCTCAAAATAAATACCAAGTCTAATGACCAAGGAGTGGCACCGAGGCTGAAATCTACCAAGTCTCATTTGGATTGGTGCATAAGGGATTTTCAGCTGAAGGGTTTTTTTTTTTTAAGTGAAAGCAATCAATGGGTTTTCAATCATGTAGAGCAAACACTTAGATGGGTCAAAGTTTAGCATATTTACCTCAAAATCGAAGGTTCTCGTGTTTCATTCAGCCCCAACTTGCAGCGGTTTCCACACTAATCACTTTGAATCATGAAAAAACATCTCATCCACTGTAACAATGCTTTAATGGATGTACCAGCAGCGTCAAGTTCACGTTTGGGATAAAGATAAGACTTCTTGTCTCTCTCCATTGCAATCCCATTGTGGTTCACCTCACTCAAAGGGTCTTTGACGAGGCAAACGTGAGGTATTAGTTAAATATCTCTACTTAGATAATTATGATAAATCTGAAGACTAAATAATTATTTTCCCTCTATATACTTAGAGGACAAGTTTGTTTTCCGTGAGGACCACTTTGCCATTTGCTCAAGACTAATCATGAATGTATAAATATAAGTGAGAGAGAGAGAGAGAGAGAGAGAGAGAGTTTTCTTCAATCATCATAATTCACAATATCAACAATTTTTAGGTCAAAATCTTGATTGCATCCTTTCACAAAGAAAAAAAATCAACAAATAATACATTCATATATTAATAACAACACAAGAAAATGTTGGTATCTATATCACAAGGAGGAAAGCTATGGCATTCTATTTGTGACCATACGTCCTTCCACATTTGAGTATATGTGGAGGTGCCGGAGCAAATCAAGCACACAAAATCCTCAGCTCACAAGCCAATCCAGCAAAAATTCTCTAAAACACTTCGGCTATTTTGCTCGCTAGAACGCGTTCCCTTCTTTCGATGTATCCAAATGGGAACCAACCTGCTTTTCCTTTGCATTCTCCTTCAGCCCAGCCATTGTTTGTCACCTGTTAACAATGCATAGCAAAAATCAACTTTCTTAAACTGAATTCTGTGGATATAAGACAGCATAATTGGACACCATTGACATTAAAGAAAAAAACAGAAGGTGTTGTTTTAGATAAATCCAAACCTTTCGAACAACAACGTAATCACCAACTGATAAAGTCAGCTCTACCTCAGATTCAGCTTGATATGAATGCATAACCTATATTACAAACAGCGAATTAAGATTTGTCCCAAAAGGAAAAGGAAATAAAAAAGCAAATTAACCAACCAAATCATGCCATTTTTTTTTATGAAGTCAAATGTTGCAACAGAATGAATGAGTTTCTTACTTCACCCAAAAAGTAACCCATGCCATCGGTTGAGCCATTATGCGATTGAGAAGCATATACACCATTTACTTCTTCATATGGAGGAGGTGGAGGCATGTTGCTCTCCACACTTGGGTTAGGGGGTGCTTCAATTCGTTGTCGTTCAGATATCATCTAATGATAACAAGATTTGGAGATCAAACACAAAAACCAAGGCAATGCAGCTCATAATAAAATATTATTACATACCTCGCTTTCAAGCAGATCAAGTATTTGCAGAACTCTCTGATGATAAGCACGTTCCGCTTCAACCTTCAATTCATAAAGGACACAAGGATATAGGTCACAATCTGACATCATAAGTAAATTGAACAATGATAGAGGCAGTGGATACTTCAAGTTACCATAGCAATAAGCCGTTGGAGGGTCAACCTCTGTTGTTGAGCTTCAACAGCAGTCATTGCTGCAGCTGCTTCCTTCCCCAATACTGCCATGTTCGACTTTAGGTCTTGCAGCTTCGATTCTGCAGCTTCCAATTTCATAGCAAGTTCAGGACTTCCTGGCATTTCTCTTACTCTTGCCTGGCGTTTGGAGACTTCAATAGCCTGACCAGGTTAAACAGAAGTGTGTGTTACTAAACAATTTTAGGTGAAAATCAACTCAAAATCAGTGTAACGATTTTGAAAAGCAAATAGACTCATCCATGATGCTGTAATAGATTTTAGATATAAAAAGGAGTATATCTAGCAGTTCTTCAGGAGACGCAAAAATCAAGGAAACTTGAACAATCAGTATTAGATCAAAAGGAACATTGAACGTAATAAGTCAATCTCAAGAACAATCTACAGATCCTATTGATTCATGTCCATCAAATTATACCCTTGAATAATCCAGTAAGAAGCCACGTTTGCAATTACCTGAGCTTCTGCTTCTTGTCGCATTCTGTCATAACGTTGAGCAAGATGCCGAGCATCCTCCAATGGAGCTCCCATTACCATTGATCTCAATGGTTCTGCAACCTACCAATCAAAACAATTAACATTGTATCATGCACCTAATTGAAAGGTCTATGATCATAACAAACAAAGACAGTAAGCAAATATTAACAATCAAGCCACACTAACATTATTCCAAGCAAAATAAGGACAATTAAAACGTCAAGCATTTAATAAAAGGATAGAAACTTTTAATAAAATAATTTCAAATGAAATACAAAAAATTATTAACTTTTATGTGGGGTGCGGGAGTGGGGAGCTGCTACAGCTAGTTAGCAGAGAACAATAAACCAAACAAGTATTTCTATGTAATCTGATCTATTGTAAAAAAAGAAAGGGTATTTGGTTTTTTTTTTTTTTTTAAAAAAAAAAGACTTGGAGAAATACATTCGATATCTGAACTTGTTATATATAGACAAAGACTGTACCTAAAAAAGTTTACTGAAATTGATGAATTGGAATGGATTTGATAAATTATTTACCAAATTTGGATTAGAATGTATGTGTGGTTAACTAATTTTTTAACAGCCCTAGATGCTAGATGCAGGATCTAACCCCAATCTATATACATAGCTAATTTCCAGATATCTTTCAGCATTAAAAGAAAACCTTTCATCTCATCTCTAGTGGAATAACTTAATTTAATGGGGAGAGGGCAGTCATCGCAAATGAGAGCCTACTTAACACCATTACAAATAATTAAAAAAAAAAAAAAAAAAGAGTTTGATAGTCTCAACAAGAATTCAGAATGATGCAGCAATCCCATAGTTACCCCCCTTACTGAGAAAAATTTCTTAATAGCCCCAGTAAATTCATGTCAATTGCTCTCTTGTTTGCAGTAGAAGTTCCAAAGAGTCTATGCAATGCGGCTGGGAGCTTGCAGAATGATGGAACACATTCGTTTAGGGAATGTGGTTCACTATATATGCCATAATGCTCGTAGATTCAGAATATAAGCTTGTTTAAAATAATAGTTAAATATGTAATATGTGCGAGTGTTTTTGCTATTGAATTGCAAACAATTTGAGATGTAAATCTGTAGAAATTTATTTTGTACAAAAAAAACAATATTTTTTTGTCAAACCTGTGTCCCTAGAGCTTTCAGCAGATTACCACGTTCCTTCTCCATCTGAGCACGAGCACGCCCATAATTTAGTGCAGCCTTTGATAATGTATTACCACTGGTACATGTATTTTCAGCACCATATTTCCTGCTATCCTCAGACAACTTTGTTCCTGTTGAAAATAATACATACACATATATGAGAACATTTGATCCTCGAAATTCATTACAGAACACCATAAAATGACATCAAAGCACAATCTCACCTATTTCAACTTGTTTGGATCCTGTAACAATATACCCTTCTACACCACGAACTATATCCCTTTGGAAATGCTGAAATGCAACATTTATCACTTTCAAGTTTGCAAATAGAACAATGAAAGGATAAATACATTATAGGAGGACTAGTCAACCTTTCCAGCACGTGTTGATATGTAAAGCTTCTCAAGTTTCTGATGTTGATGGAGTTCAGCTTCATCCGTAATAACATTGTCTGAACCTCCATATCCACCGGCCCCAAATTGTTTGAGAACAGCCTGGAGTAACATTCAAGGTAATTAAAGAAGTATTAAACAGAAAGCTACTAGACTAAACAAAAAAGACTAATCATGATTAATGCATACAAAATTAAAAACGCACAATAATATTAATACGGGGAACCACAAACATGGAGCTTCTGATTCATAGGTTAAATTCAAATTACAAATATAAATCAAATCAACATTTTAGAAAAGACAACTATAAGAAGAAAACAAGAATTGTATATTGGCTATAAGCAGAATACTTAGATGCATACATGCATATCGTAAAACCACCTATAAATAACATAGATTGGCTCTATTGAAACAAGACCCAGTTCCTGTCTTCAAGGGAATGCTTGAACATCCAAAGTTAATTGACTCATCTAATCGAGTTTCTACAAGAATTTTTTTTAATAGCAATCTACCCGACTCTAAAACTAGGCAATGGAGTCCAAAATTAAACCCATTACACATTGTAAAAATGAATTCCATTTTTCCTTAAAAATGAATTCCATTTTTCCAAAATCAGCCCGCATTTTTGAATTTGAATTTCCCGAAGCCTTTTTTGTTACAATTTATTAATTTGGGCGTGCATGGTTCAATAAGCCCATAGAACAACATAGATATAAAAGAAATGACCAAAAAAAACAGAAAGCAAGAGAAAAGGAGATTAGAACCAATTAAAGAAATGCAGCTGATAAACGGGAAAAGGACAAACTTGGATCTGATACTAGGGTTCGATTTTGAGGTACCTGTTGCTGCTTAGCAACCTGCTCTCGAAGCTTCGTGGCTTGTTTTCTTATGGCTTCCATTCACTTGAGGGATGATTTTGGATTTGATGTTGTGAAGCTTCAGAGCTGTGACACAGAGAGGAAACGAGATGCTGTTGGTGTTAGGCACAAACTAGGGAAATCGCTGTGAGTTTGGGGTGTCTTTGTTACTTTGTTCTATGCCTATTTTCAAATTAGAGAAACACATCAATGTTAACTTGTGGCCGTTCTCATTTTACCAACGCTGGACTCTATTATAATTTGGAAAGTAGATTACTCATAAACCACTCAAATTAACCCAAACCGATCTAAAATTGTAGTTTTAAAAATTAGTAATTTAGTTTGATTTGTAAACCTTTAAAAATCGAGCTATGAATTCAATTTACAGTTTAAAGTCGAAATTGCCCAAACTGAATCAAACAATTATGGTTATAATTCCAAACCATAAGGACTTGAATTGAAATTGAATCAAATATGATCTCTCAATTTCGGTTTGATTTAAAAGTAGAAGTTAATTATAATTTATTATTTGTCGAACTAATCTAGGTTTGGTTCACTTCCAAACGTGGTTTACATTCATGTTAGTCTAATGAGGTAGTGTTTATTTATTTTATGAAAAAAATTTAAATTAATCCCTAAACTATGACAAATCAATGCATAAGAAAATTAATTATAAAATCTCTAAATTATAATTTTATCAATATTTGATTTTACCGTTTAAAACAGAGGGACTAAATGTTAATAAAAATCATAAGTTAAGAATTTCATGGTCAATGGATTGATTTTTCAGTCAATGATAGTCAAAAGAGGTTATTTTGAATGAAAAGACTAAAATGTCAGCAAAATATAATTAGTTTTTAAAAACAAATATTTCTATATATTAATTTGATTATAATATAATTTAAAATTTTAACTTTTCCTTTTATCTTGTAATGCATGAGTGAAACAAGCAGAATTTTTATTTTCAAAAAATTTTCCAATTAAATTTAATGAACCGAGCCTGTAAATTAATATTAATATTTTAGTGCGAATACTGTAAGAAATCGGATCGAAAACCGATTGAAAAAGCTAAAAACCAGTTAAAAATCGATGATTTGGGCCGAATCGAATCGAACCGAACCGGTTCGACCCAAAGCATCTAGAACATTCCTTTTTTTTTATATATCCAACGCTGCACCTTCACTTCTCACCCACCATTTCTGCGCCACCTCCAGCCCACCACCGCACCACCACCACCTCCTCCTTTCTTCCTTTTCTTCTTTCTTTCTTTCTTTCTTTTCTTTACGAATCGAACCGAACCGGTTCGACCCAAAGGATTATAGGACATTCCTTTTTTTTTAATATCCCACACGCTGCACCGTTCAAACTTTCACCCACATATATTCTTGCAGCGCCACCTCCCAGACCCACCACCGCAACCACCAAAAAACCACCTCCTCCTTTTCTTCCTTTTCTTTCTTTCTTTCTTTCTTTCTTTTCTTTGTCTTTTCTTTTCTTTTTTCTTCTTCCCTGCGGTTTTCATCTCTGTAGGTGGACTGGCGAGAGACAGCAGTTCATGCTGCACGGCCACCCATCCCTCGACCGCCTTCTCTCCACCACCGCCAGTCGGACCTTACCTCGACCAGCCTCCATTTTCGGTTAATCGAAATTCCGGCAACAATATATATATATTAGGTATAATTTAGTTTTAGTGAATGAAATTAATTGTTTGTAGGTAATTTATTTAGTTAAGTTAGCGTTCTTGAATTTATTTAGTTAATTTATTTAGTTAATTGATTTAGTTTAGTTAGTTTAATTTTAATAATTTTAGTCGATTTAGTTAATGTCAGTAATATTAGTTAATTAAATTAATTTTATTATTTGTAGTTAAGTAATTTGGTTAATTTAATTTGATAATTGTGAGTAGTTAACAGTTTTATAATTTTAAGTTATGTATAATAATGTTGAGTTAATGCTAGGTTAAATTAAAACTCTATAATTTATTTTTAGTTAAGTTAATATATAGAGTTAATTTAATTTGATAATTTGCTGGTAGTTACAGTTTAATTTGTATTGATTTATATAAAGTAGTATAAGTTTTATAATTTTAGTATTGATTTAATTAAAGTAGTTTAAATATAATGTTATTGTAATGTATAATTTGGATTGTGTGGTGATGTTGAGATTGGAGGAGAATGGGAAAATGTTGTTTGATTAATTGCCCGACGGATGGGCCGTATGGATTGAATATTTGTGAAATTATTGATATTTTAATAGGTAGATAGTCAAATTTTTAAGGGAGATGATGCCGAAATTTCGGTAGAAAAATAAAAATAAATTTGGTATAAAAATAAAATAAATTTCGGTAGAAGAAAATAAATAAACTAGAGTTAGATAAAATAAAATAAAATTTAATATAAAATAAAATAGAATAAAATTATAAATCAATAAATATCATAATAAGAATAAAAAGTTAGTCAGAAAAGAAATTTTAATATAGAGAATAATTAAGTATTAAAAAAGTAAGAATAGGAAATAAAGAATATGATTAAAGGTAAATAAATATTTTATCTGACCTATATATTGATTGTTCGTGTCATTTTTAAAATCTTCTTTAGATCGCCCGCGCGCTCGCTCATATGTCGCTTCCTCTCTAGGACAGAACAAGCTGTAGCAATTTCGCTCTTTAGAGCCACTGTGAGTAATAATAAATACTGCCATATCAAATGCCATTGCTTAGCATTTTTTTTACAACCTCTCTATTATCTATACAGTACTATATTATTATTTATATTAAAGCTCCATATTATCTTTTTAATGTGTGCCATAATATGTAGTATATTGTTGACATGTATCTATAGAGGGTCTGCTTAGTTAATTAAGAGTTTCGTTTGAATAATCTGTAGTTGTGACAATTGTGCTCTTGTTATAGTGTTGGATTGGGATTAGTCGTGGGTCAATCCCTGGACTGCTCACTGTGAGACCGTACCGGTTATAATGGGATTTCAATATGATTTCACTGATTACGCCGGCGTTAGTACAATAGCTGCCTTCTGCTATGAAATATGGATCCTGAATATGATGAAATTATGGAATTGTGGAATTTGACCATCGGCCGGGTAAATGGGAGATCGGCGCCTCTGTGTGCACCTGATACCATGGATTATATAGAAACCATAGGGTGCCTCTTATTGGGCGCACCTGATAATCTGGATTTTATGGTAGCCCGCAGGGTGGCCTCCTGTTGTGTGCGCCGACGAATCTAGATTTGATGGAGACGACCGGATTACCCCCCTGTTGGTATGGAAAAGAAAAGAGAGAATGAAAAAACAATGAGAGGACTGGTCATGTGAGGATTGGACCGGTCGGCCAGGTATGGGGATTGGCTCCCCGGGTGCACACGTCTGAGAGGATGGCCCATGTGAGAGTACGGCTCGTCGGGAGTTTCGGTGACGCCACTGACCAATTTCCACGTGATGTGATTACATGAAGATGATAATAATTGTGATTGCTGTTGTATTGCCATTTGTGTGATGAACTGCATAATCATATAACTAGTCATAGGACTTAAATGATTTATGATAGCATATGTGTGATTGTGTAGGGTGAGAAGGTTATCTAACCCTACTCATTCAGTTTGGCGCTCACCCCTGTATATTATTTTTTTTCAGGTAATAGAAATGAAGAAAAGCCCCTATGGAGTTGAAACATTACTTATAGAAGACTATTAATGATAGAAATAACAATGTAAATGTAAAGGTAGAGTTCCGCAATTGTATTCCAGTTGGGTTTTAAATGAATAATAAGAGTCCATATTAAATATATGAACTGTATTTTGGATACGTATGTGAAATAAGTTATTGGGCCTGAATCCACAATTATGAATAGAATCTTTGTTTAGCACTCGCATATAAAGTGTACATTATTGTGCAATTAAACTATAGGGTTATAGTTAAGTATAAAGCTCTGGTTTATTGAATTTGAGGTGGTATTGTGATAGGCCCTGGTTAAATTTATGTAATTTGATATGGGCCAGTAGTTTAAAATTTTATAAAACTGGGTATTCTTATAGTCAGATGGGCTTTCTGTTTTGTTTGAAATTAGGAAGAAATCATGTAGACTAGATTTGAATAAAAGTTATAGCCTTACTATCGTGGGCCTCGTGGGGCCGTTAAGTCTTTACCTGGGCCTAGTGCCGGTCCGTCCCACAGAAGAACGCGCGTCGTAGACATGAGAACAATAAAACAGCGCTTTATTTACCTCGATGTTTTCTCTCAATGTTTAAAATATCTATATTTAGATTAGAGAAATATATTTACTTTGGAAACTTTAATTTTTTTTATTAGATTACAAGAAAAAATATTAAAATTAAGATCAAAGCTTACTACGGGCCTCGGGGGCCTTAAGCTTACCTGGGCCCTAGTGCCGGTCCGGCCCACAGAAACGGGTCGTGACAATGAGACATAAACTTTAAAGTTTATATATTCATTTTTCTTTCAATAAATATTATTTAGATAAAAATATATTTAATTTGAAACTCTAATTTTTTTTTTATAGATTACAAGAAAAATATTAAAATTAAAGATAAAAAATTCTAATGCTAAATGAATCATTTAATATATTTAGTTATTTATTATTTCTTTTTAGGAAAATAATGGTGTAGAATTGAACCCTTCTAATACAAGAAACGTAGGCATGCTCCAATTATTATGTTTCATGGATTTCACGTATTAGATAATTAGGTTTGCTTTTTTGGACAAATCCTGACTTTTCTTTTCTTTTCTAGAATGTTTGTCTTTATATTTTATGATGTAACCTTTGTTTCCATGGGATAACATCAACCGTTGTATCATCACCAAGAACATTTTTGCAGCCTATACATGTTGACCACTTAAGTTAAAAGGCTTTATACAATGAAAATACACAAATAACCTTAAAACATGCAAATTAGACACATAATTAATTAATTGCATAAAATGTTTTTAAAAAAGTTCTAATTACAAAAAATTTAAATATTGGGCATTATTTAGAAAGCAGCTGAAAATAAGGGCTCAAATTAATTTTTTATTCTATTTTGTTAGAACCTAAGATTTTGGGTTAAATCGAGTCATAACTTAAAAATTTTGTTTTAATTTGACTGATAACTTAATTTTATATCCAATCGGACATTCTTTAAAAATTGAAGGGTCAAATTTTGCCTTTGTGAAGATATACGTGATAAGCTTTTCGGA